CACACACCAATACTAATTCTACTATTCCATAGTCTTATTAGCTATTTTATCCCCTCCAAGCTCTTTACTCACTTGCTGAGCAGTTCCACAACGTCTAGAGGACCATCTGTGGACGCTCCTCAGGACATCCATGGGAGTCGGACCTCCAAAACCTTCAAAGGTTTTGGGAGTCGTTCCCCTTGTAAAATAAATAAATAAATGAAAAAAATAAAAACCCCCCAGGGGTTTTTGGGAGTCAATCCACCACAAACCCCAGGGGGGTTGGGAGTCGGCGCCGGGAAGATGCCCTCAATGGCCAAGAGGGATCCCTCTTGGCCGGCGAGAGTTGTACACTCTCAGAGGCTGAGAGGGATTCCTCTCGGCCGCTGAGAGTCTACGCTCTCAGCCCTCTTGGCCGCCAAGAGTCGTACTTGTACAATCTCAGCAGCCGAGAGGAATCCCTCTCGGCCGTTGAGAGCATACACTCTCAGCGGCCGAGAGGTATTCCCCTTGGCCGTTGAGAGCATACACTCTCAGCGGCCGAGAGGTATTCCCCTCGGCCGTTGAGACCATTCATATACATAGTTGTTTCATTTTTTTATTTTTGTTTTTTGTTTTTTATTTAATTTTATTATTTTTTTGTTAGGGGAACGACTCCCAAACCTTTTGAAGGTTTTGGAGTTCTGACTCCCAATTTCGGGGTTGGACGTCCTGAGGACTGTCAGCAGACAGTCCTCTCGACGTCCCAGAAATTTGGGAGTCGGAACTCCAATTTCTGGGAGTCGTTTAACAAGACCCATTAATAAAGAGTTACCTATTAATTTACCTCTTTCATGAAAATTATACTCAAGTTGAAAAGGATAATTATCTCTTGGGTGTATCCAAGAGATGATTATCCTGTTTATCTCTCTTGTGTGAATATATATTCTGTTTATCTCTCTTATGTGTATTTTCTGAAATAAAAGATAGTCAGCACATGTACATTTATCATGCTCTGAATATCCTGACACTTTCCCCCAAGGAATAGTGTACCAATAAGGGGACTGCACCGGTCCCAGTAGCAGTTTGACCCCTGCTCTGTAATATTTAAGGGGATGACTCTTTCCCTGAGATTCATCCCCCAGAGATTATTACCATACAAACCCAAGCACCTTACTAGATATTGCATCCTAATAAATAGTCAGTGGGGTTTTTACAATAGTCTATTAAAATATTGATTACACTTTCCTCTGTCTTCATTGCTAGCCTTATAAGTTACTTATTTAACTTATAAGACTAGTACAAAATAATTTCTCTTATAATTATTAAGCTCTGGAACTGTGAAGCTCATTCCACAGTTGTCCCTTATTATTATAAGGAGCTAGACCCTCCATGGTACTCGTGTTGAGTTGGGCTTATTTCCACTGGTCACTCTTGGCTATAGTGTGACCCTATACCTCTGATAAAATTTCACAGCAAGAGCTGAGAAGGGGGAGAAGTGACCAGTGACAAAAAACTCTGACAAGAGAAATAACAAGGTCAAGAAGCCCTCTTTGAGGGCTTTATAGGCTGCTAGCTTGTGGGTCGGAAAAGCAATCCCACTACAAGAGGTTGTATGAGTGACCTCAGGGAACAGATGCAGAAGAACTGATGGATTTTCATATTCAAACTCATGGTATGGCTAATTTATCTACATACAAATCTTGGTTTAGTTGTGGGACAGAAGGTGAAAAGAGTGCATATTCATCTGGAAGGGAAAGGAGTGACATTGGTGTGAAAGGGAGGAAAGAAGGAGAGATGAGAGAGAGACGACAGAATTCCAACAACCTCATCAACTCTTGGTCACATAAGAGACCAGAGCTGACAGGTTGGGTCAAGTTAACCTTGTAACTGAGAAGTACAGTTCCAAATGTCATCAACCTGAAAATTTAGTGGTGGCTTCATTATGTTGAATTTTTCGCTCTTCGATCTCACTCTCTCCTCCTTTCTTCCTCTCTGTCACCTGTCACTCGTTTATCACCGACTTTTCTCTTATTCAATATGCATAAGTTTCTGATCCCACAACTTGTGCACTTTTGTATTTAGACTACTTAACACCCTAGATATTGAGGAATAAAAAAATTATCGGTTCTTTAATCTTTTTCTGAGCCTTTCCCAAAGAAGCACTTTAGCCCTTCTTTGGTCTCTGTTGTGAAGCACTTGAGCCCTTCCAACTTGAGTCAAAAAGTTCTTTTTCTTCGGCCTTTTCGCCAAAAACTCAACACATTAATTGGAGCTAACCTGGGTTGGGGCAGTCTCCAGTTGGTTTAAGTTGCCAGAATTGGATGATTTAGTCCAACAAATGTGAGTGCTTTTGGCCAAAGACAAGTGCCATGACAGCATTTTAAAATGTGTGAAAAATTGAAAGATGAAGTTGAATGTAATTTGAGTTGTTGCTCTATCAGATTACTTGGCCAACCAGTCAAAAAATCAAATATTTTCTTTTGTTTATCTATCACAGAAGACCAATTCTGTAAGCTCATGACTTCTTTTCAAGAGACTTGGTCCTCAGGATAAATGAATGGCTCAACAGGGAACAGAGACCCCTGTACAAGCCAACAAAGTATTGACATTCAGTATAACTCCCAATCTGTGGAGCAATTTTGGAGTGTTGAAACTTGAACAAAGATTTGAGCAGGGAGGATTTTTATGAGAAAAACCTTTTCAACAAAATAATAATTTCCTTGATCAGCACAAATGGTCAAAAATGAAGGAGAGAACTGATTATTAATTCAACTTTTACTAAGCTAGCTTTAAACGGACAAAATCAGAGTGGTTAAAAAGTGGTTATAAACTATTTGAATTCATGAAAAATATCATTGAATAGGAACACTATAATGGCACTCACACAGGACTGATCATCCAGACTACATTGATTGAGCAATGAATACTAATCTGGCTTCTATGACTACAAGATTGTGTTAATTCAATACAAACTTCTGAGAAATTTATAGGCTTAAAAGAATATAAATTTCTGTAAGATAAAAATGAAAATGAGAAAAAAAGAAAAGAGTAGTACCTTAAAAGAACAGGAAGTTAGATGAACTACCAACACGGTAAGTACACTATTGACTCTTAATGAGTATATTATCAATTAATTCAGGATAAAAAGCTAGGAGAATAATTTTAGAGCATTCAACAAATATTCAATGATGATAAAAGAAATAATAAACAAAATACCTCAAAATCCCTAGCAGTTGATCCCTCACAATTGATTGATGCTGAACTTGATGATTAATGTTGAAGAGTTGAGCGATGTTGAGTTGTGATAAAGAAGATAGGATGAGGAAAGAGCCTGTTGACCATGCCAGGTTGATCATGACATCATGATCACAACACTCCCGATCTGGAGTATTGACAGCACCTGCACCCACTGTGCACACCCAATTCCAACAACTTCTATCTAAATCAAGTAGTATGAGAGAAGCTGACAGGCACAAAATAAATCAATGAGGTCTAAATTTTGACCAATGGGTAATACAAGAAGAGGATTTAAACACTGGGAATCTGGCCAAGACACAAACTTCCTGGAAGGAAATTTTAGAAAGAATCAGACTGTTGGGGGGGTCCATATGTGAAAAAGGCTCCAGGTGCAAGGGACAGAATAGCTTCCATTAAATACAAGAAAAACACTATGACTCTTTGGAGCTGAAAAAAGCCAACAGTGCTGCTAGCCATTTCAGAATGTTCCTATTGGTTTTTGTGCTAGGGCTACCATGAGTTGGTCCTATACTGATTTCTGTGGAAAGTTTGAGTTGTTTCAAAAGATTGTATTATTATCATGAGAAACCCAATTGGCAATGTGAAATGATCCAGTGGAATAAGAATACAACAATACAATTCCTGATTTTGAAACCAAAGAAAACATTAATCTGATAATTCCATATAAAACTCTTCAGCTCTGCCTTGAGATTTATTGAGAGAATTTAAAATTAATATCTCAGCTGTGGGAAGACCTGGGCTCTTGAGATATGGTTCTATGAAATTGGATAGAAACATGTACTTGAAAGGTAGGGCTGTGTGGGGATAGGGGGTTGGATGTGATTGCAAGATTGAGTACATCCCCACACAGAAAAGAGTCTTCATTTGGAAGCATCAAATGTGGTTTGAGAAGATGTCAGCCAGATTTCATAATAATTATGGAGTGTGGCTCTATCTGGCTATGTGTTTTTCACTCTGCCTCCCTTTGTCTGAGGTTTTTTTTGGGATGCATTTGAGTATTGTTTTAGAAATTCAAGTACATAACCAGACTTTGTGACTGAAGCTGGAGAAAGCTTGTGTTATTTAATCATGAAACACTCCATGCTAAAAATGATCTCATTTTGGCAGATTTCTTTTGACTGACAGCCTATAAGCAGGGTTCACAATTTGAATTTTCCAAATGCAATTTTAGCGAATCCCAGAAGTAGTGGCCGGAAGGAATCTTGCGCAAATGTGTGAGCTCAGAAGCCATCGTGAGCCCAAACTTACGCCAGTACCTCTGCTGCGGGAGGCAGTCTTGAAAGACAGACCTTACGGGGCTGCCCTGAGTCCCTCCCATTGCTTTGAATATCGGTTGGAAGCAACCCCCTTTTCCCATTCTTCCTGATTCTAATGCTGATGAGCGTATAAGGTATTTTGACAAATTTGCAGACAATACAGCGCGGAGTTAGTGGCCCGGGAGGCAGTCAGATCCTGTCAAAAAAACCTGTGCCGATACCGGCTGAACGAGTTCATCCGAAGGTATGCAACTGCTGGCGGCGAGACGCGTAGTCCACTACATAAACGGACAGTCCCTCAATGACTTCGCCGCGCAGGCCCTACGGCAGGTACCATACCGGGTTATCGCAGGCCCTCATACAAGTTCAGGGGTCTTGAAATTGAAGGCAAGGGCAGGCAAGGGTGGTTGACGATATGCCTTATCAAAGCGGCGCAGGCCTACGAGGAGGGCCACATTGATTTGTATCAAAGGTCTCCTACAATCTCCGTCCCAGTCAGTAGCAGGCTGGGTGACTCCTCTTATATTCCTTCTTGCTTTGCGTGCCGGGCCATACTCCCAACAAACAGATACACCACAGTGTCACTTACAAACGTTTTTCGGCATATTTTACAGCGAGACCTTCAGTAGAGTAAAATGATTGGTATTTTTTTGTTTCTCATACTTCCTTATTTGATTCAAGCCTCCTCAGTCGTTCCTGTGCTCTCAGCACCGGCTGAGAAAAGCGAAAATGTATGCTCGAAAGCTGGGCATGCACGCGCCCTGACAAAGAGAGCTTTCAAACCACGTGTGGTTAAGGGCGCTGTAAAGTTGCCCGGCGACTCCCGACGTGAAATTGACAACCCAATTGGTCGGTACCCACAACAATGGCCGAATTGTGGTAACTACAAGTTACGAGTGTCTACGAAGTGTGGTGCAAGTCAAAATCCGAGGGTTGAACATGGACTGATTCACAGTATCCTCAGCACATTAGACAAAAAGGATCGTTCTACAGCTGAGAATGTTGAATTCATGAAGCACCAACTCAAGAGGATAGCTTCAAGTGGCAATATTTCACGACCGCTGGGCAAAGGAGACGGTGTCGCATCAACATTCGAGATCAATTTACTCTATTTTCTTTTACATTGCTTTGAAGACAAGTTTATCCACCGCTGGTTTCAAATTTACGATTCTTGGAGCTCACTTAATACGCCTTTTTTGATCGAGGTCAGCAAGATTATCAGAATAAAAGAGCCCAGAAGCCTCTTTGATGATACTATGGGAGCTCGGATTATGAAATCAATTTCAAGAAATGATTTCAATACTAGGCTTTTGCATGGTGACTTATGGCAGGCTAGGGCGGATCATGACCCCTCATTCTTATACGCCGCAATCAATTCGATTTCCCCTGGACTGTGGAAATTTTGTTTACCGATGAAAGATGAAAAGTTCGATATAGACTTGTTGATAAGCAATCCAATCGCTCGCTTGAGTTGGTTTTTGGATGGCTTAGATCCAGCTGAAATGATTGAATACGCCCAAGCTCTTGAAAAACCTCAGTCACCAACTCTTCAAGAACTGATGAATAGACAACTCATACTCGAAAAAGAGGATAAGACTGAACCGAGCCAAAAATTCGCGCAAGCCAGTTGGTTTGCACAACGCATGGGTTGGGATCATTTCCAAAGAATCATATTGGATTTTGAGAAATTCACTCCCAACACTAACAGTTATAAGTTCAAGATGAGCGGCTTCTGTCAGCCTGGGACCGGTGTATTATCGACTCCCAAAGCAAGAAAGTCGATGCAGGAATTGAACAAACTTTTGGAGAAAAAAGGCTTTCTTACAGTCTCCTCGGATGAGAATTTTTCATCAAACATCATGGAGTGGCTTAGTACCTTGTGCGTCTCTGATCTGATGAACGTGTTAAATTTTGAATGCATATTCAAAGCATCTAAAATGACTTTGAAATACTTTCTCTTACAGCTTAACCTGGTTGAACGATTCCAAGGTTCAAATAAATCGGTTCTCTACTTGGGAAATGTCTTGATGACTTGCACTACTCTTTTGTTCTATGAGGAAATCATTCCCAATTGCTATGCATTCATATGGTGTTATACACGCGCACCAGCAACCGTTGATTATACACCATCACAAGATCCTATGGAGATTATACTAAATAAGTTGACTTCACCAGCTCATACTCTTTTCAGTTTTGTTGACTTTTGCTGCATAGAACAGTACTATTAGATCCAAATTCCAATCCATAACCCCCACATGCACTTGAAATGGTTAACCTATGCAGCACTAGTAAGGTGTACTTTGAAGCACTTTAGGTGAAGGTACTATACATATATCATTCCTCAAAAATCCATCAGAAATTTCTTCCAACTTTTGTGCTTTATCCTTAAACTTTCTCATTCTGATTTCTCTCATGTCACTTGAAGTGTTGTCTACTACTTCTGTCTACTGCTTCACATTGAATGTTTGCACAGTGGGTCTTCTTTTTGTGGCAAGTAGCTCTCGATTCCAGAAGGATGAAATCACACAAACTTTGAAGTGATAAGGATTAGGAAAGTCTGATGAAAAGGCCATCTCACAGAAAAATGCGCAGGTCTTGAACTTCAAGGTGGCTGCCCAAGTGAGAGCATCAAGGGATCTCAAAAAGGGAGATCAAATAGTATGCATACATAACCCTCAGATGAGCAAAGAAGAAAATCTTGCCAAAGTCTGATAAGAAAGTATTAATGTTAGTGGTACTCCAAAAAGTTTTCCAACACATCTCCGATGCAAACAGAGGCTAGTCAGTACACCCAGCTTGCCTTCCTTTACACCCAATCTACCATTGGCCATTCTTCTGACAATGATCACAACAACAGCTCCTCCAAACCGTGCAAGACCATCAACCTGACAGGGCTGTAGACAAATAAACAAAGTAATCACCAGTTTGTTCTTTTGTGTGTGTGTGTTGCAGAGGAGGAACGAGTGGGACAAAGATGATGAACAACAGCAGTCTCAACAACAAAGTCCTTCAACAAGATACCAACTTATATACATCTAACTATGTACGTCATGAAGTGCGTGTTTGTGTGTGAATGCATACACATGAGCCAATTCAAATATTCAACTATCTATCTACTTATCTATCAAGATTAACCTCATTAACCAGGTTTATATGCGATGTTTTATTTTTTTTGAGAGAGAGTTATCTAAGAATGATTCAACATGATTTCTGATTACAAAGAACTAAAAAAAAATAGGAAGGAGGATGGAGTGGTTTGGGGGAGAAAGAGGAGGAAGACTACCCGGAATGCGAAGAGAGGAGGGGAAGATAAGAGAGGAAGGATCAGATGGCGAGAACAAAAGCCTCCCAGACCCACCACCTGATCTGGTCGAGCAGCTGGTTCTGTTGCCATAATTGGTGATCGACCTGGCTGCGAACCCTGATGGCGAGGGAGTTGGTGAGGGAGCGGGGGTCCAAGAACCTGATGAAGCAATCAAACTTTCGAGGATGATGATGGTGCTCGTTCTTGCCGGCAGGTTGATCGAGCGGTACGCATTGAATCCCGTCCTCTGCAGGCCGGCCGTCCAGCCCAACCGCCCCGTCACGTGCCCGCACCCGTTCCCATTTCGTTGATGAGGAGGACGAGAAACTCGGCCCGGTCGGCCCGTCGGTTGTCAGCTGCTCTATCACCGTGTTCTGCTCGAAGACGTCGGGGTTGGAAACAATGAAATGAACCTCCAAGATCTTGTGTGATAAGTCACTGATCAGAGGCCGATCAATCCATCCCAGTCCAACCCAATCATTTCGTTTAACCGCTGCCAAAAAAAAAAAACATTAATATTTTATCGATTTCCGCAAGCATTCACCAAATTACTCTCTAGCTGAGCCGGAAATGCTTACGTTCTGGGGAGCTCCAGAAGGTGGAATTATTCCCATCGATTGCGGCGGCATAACTAGAGCGGATGACATGGTGTTCGCGCGCGGCCCAATCGGCTCTGCCAGCGGAGGCCAAGGCGCGGCCGGGAAGATGGCCAAGCGCATAGCCAGTCGTCCCAAGCTGGTCTTCCCATCCTGCCAGACCGCGGTCAAAGCCAGTGAACCGGGGCCCTCCCCCGTACGGGAAGGCTTCGATATTGGTCATCAGGAAGAGCTGGTCGGACCGATCGGCGGCCCGGATCGCCCCTACATGCGAGCCAGCTTCGTCTTCGGGAAACGCTCCAAGCGGGTGTCCGGTCTTGAGGACCTTTGATAACAGCTCGACACCTCGTTGCTAAAGAAAACATAGACAGGACAACACATGTCAAAGAAGAGGAGACAAGCGCGACCAGAGCGCGGGAGGAAAGGCAAACCCACTATGTACACCCGGTTCCGTTCCAGTCCGGCCGTCCCATCACTGAAACCACGATCAGATAATGGCAAAGCGATGATCTCCGGCGCTACAATCACATGCGGCTTCCGGTTCAGAGCGGTGGTGAAGAAGTTGTCGGCAAGCGCAACCGAATCCGCGGGCAAAGATTGTTCAGTAAGTAAGGAGACGAAGTCGCTGACGGCGCTCTTTGTCACAAACGAGCCGTGTCCAAGCCATGCGAAACACGTGTGTAATCTATTTGGCGGGTCTTATGCAGGTAAGATATTGAAAAAAAAAGAAAAACCTGATTGGCTTTGTCTGACGAAAACAATGGAAAAAGGAAAGGAAGAAGACTAGAGAGAAAAGACCAACCATTGAAACACCATTCCCAATTATACATGACTGAATAGACCGGATCAGCTTGGACGACGACGGAGGATGGTCTTGGAAGGAGAGCCTTGAACTGGGTGTACATGGTCCGGATCGGATTCACGATACAATCGTCATCTTGAAAGTAACAGTATTCACTTGGCGATTGTAAACACGCCAAGAATCTCGAAAAGAAATAATTATTGGAGGGCGAATTGTAGATTAATAATTTGTGTTGCGGACATTTCGTATTCTCGAAATCCTGCATTTTTTTATCAACGCGTCGCCGATCATAGGTGGTTTTTTTGGACGGAAGAAGCCAACGGAAAGGGATAGGAAGACATTGTAATTAGTGGAGCTAATATGCAGGCCGACAGTTAAAGGTAATGACTCGCCTTGGAGGTCAAGACCTGTTTGGGGTTATTATTCCAAACGATGATCGATTCGAAGAAGTCGTACTGACACAGATGGGCGACGATGACAACAACGTTTTCGGGCCGACTCCAGTTGAGGATGACGGCGGAGACATCGGGGATTATATGGGCGCGAGTTGCGAGAGGAAGCTGTGATTGTTCGACGGGTCTGAGCCAGCGACCGGCGAGGCCGAGCGGGTCGTTTGCGGAGGAGTAGAGCGGCTCGGATAGGATGCCCAGGCCGGCGAGGGTGACGAATGGGGTCTGACGCATCTCTCTCTGCAGCCGGCGAGTCTCTGCGCCCGTCCGACGCCCGACACGGAACCGGGTCGGCCCCCAGTCTTGGCTATCCAGAGTCCGTTCACAGCCTCGCCAGAGATCGACGAGCCCGAGAATGATGAGGAGGATGATAAGCCAGCTGATTGGCTTACTGAGCCCCAGACGCGCATGAATGCAGATTTCCCATGATCGGCTTAGGTAAGACGAGCGACGGCGGTGGTGGTGGAGAACGAGATTGGGACGGCGGACGAGCGAGGAGGGAGTAGGGATCCATAGGGAGGAGAGGATGGAATCCTTGAGGCGGGAGAGCGTTGGGAAGGACTGGTGAGGTGGATGGCTGAGATGATGATTGGTGAGATATCGACGGGAGGAAAGGGTTGATCGAGGCTCGCTGGTGGGGTTGACGCTTTGATCGGCCTGTTTGAGTGCCGAGTCGGTTGCCCGTCTGAACCGATAGGGGGGTCTGTTGGGAGCTCCGGTAGTGGTGGGGGTGGGGACTGGTATGCTGTTGAAGAGTGAGCCGGAGGAGGACTGGAGTGGTGGCCGGTTGAGCCAGGAGGACAGGGCACTGGCGGGTGGACGGGATGGCCGGGGCGAGGTGGATGGGTCCGGCTTGAGTTGGATGTAGAGTGCCCGGGAGGGAGAGGCGGAGGGGGAGGATGGCGAGGGGCTGGGGGAGGGTGGGGCAGTGGAGTCGGATGGGTTGTTGTGGTCCAGCCTCATGACTCAAAGAGAGCGAGTGCTGCTGGAGTGCAAGTTCAGTAGGGGAAACTTTAAAAAAAAAAGAGACATACATACATAAATGTAGTATGGACAGACTGGCGCCATCAGGACCAGTGGGAGCAAGCTAGGGATAGATTGTTTCCAAACATGTTTATGTAGCTTGCAGAGAGAGCTGAAAAAAAAGCAGAACTAGAAATAACCAATTTCATTTACAAAAAGGAACTGCCCATCTGGCAAAACTTTGGACCCTCATCAACCAAGCCAACGCTGAAACACCCTCCAACAACAGAGGTTTGTTTCAACTGGGGCATTGGAAAAGTTTGTAGATAGGGGGTCACGCTGGCAACATCCATCACAGGCTCATTTTCAAGTGCAATATGTAGGAAGCTTGAACAGCATAAATACACCATCTCTCAAGCATCGTTAATGGCATTGACCGCTCTCCTGTGATTGTGGAAGCTCTGTCATAAGAAATAGACCAAAAACTTCGGTTTTCTTATTATTAGACAGACTCCATACTGTTCACCCAAACACAACCCTCCTATGTTTTCCCAAAGTAACGGATTAACTGACTTATTACAATAGGATCACTAGAGATGGCTTATCATGTTGAGTATGTATGTGAATACAGGGGGGGGGGCATCAATTTGTTGTGGTTGACATAGCTTTTTACGATTTGGATTGGTTAGATGAGTGGGCCCAAAAGACGATGTGCGCTGTGCAGATTAGGAAATTACTCCGATAGCTTGATCAATTATCTCTGTGACTCCCTCGTCCCCAGTTTCATCCAAACCAATTGCCGTCCGGTGGCGATACAGAGCACATCGGCCTCGGGACTCATCGGCTGCCATTCAATATCGTGTACCCGGGTCCGGGTTTGGGTGGGGTGGCCGGGAAGTTGAACGGTCCGAGGGGCTGGAAACAAAATAATAGCCATCAAGCCAAGATTCAGCGCCGCAGAAAGGTTCAGATCTAATCGGATTATCAGATAAGAAAACTGTTATGAACTGACATTGAAGGAAGGACAAGTAGTAGACCTGGATTGCTCCTGAGCCGGAGTTGGAGGCATTGGGCGAGGATGTGGAGATAGCAAACATCCGAGGATTGGTAGGACACCATCTAGATTTGAAGAAATTATGAGACCCTTCAGCGAACATCAGAAGGGAGAGAGAGACAATGAGATGGCACATGATACACGTGGACTGACCGGAAGACATCAGCCACCACACCCGGTCCCCAGACTTCACCGGCAGCCAACGGGGTACCAGCGCGCGTGGAGCGCATATCCCAGACAGCCCAGCGGTTACCGTTGAGCGCACCAAAGACGTCGGCCTCATCGACCTTCCAATCAGCCATCCCTAAGCGATCGCTAGCATGGCCGAGGCTGTAGAGCTTGTTGACAAGCGTACGTGGCTCGATGAGACAGATGATGATCGGTCGATCGGGCTTGGTCCAGTCGATGAGCTTGATCGCCCCATTGGCATCGTAGACCATCAGCCGACTTGACGAGGTCGGATGGAAGCTGATCGTGACCGGGGTGGATTTGAAGGGTCCGATCAGCGTCGGCGCCGGCGGGCTCGACGGCAGGTCCGGGTTCCCACCCTCGGCACTCGACTCAAGGTTCCAAATTAGCACGCATTTGTCGGTCGCCGCTGAGCCGATCACGTTTGCGTAGCCGGGCACCGGACACCAAGCTACCGAGGTGATCCGTCCCGAATGGCCAGAGTGGCTCTGTCCAAAGCACTGGACTGAAGTTCTTTGAGATTGGCTATCGGTGGCAGCCTGGTAAGTTAGCAGGCGCATGTTTTGGTCCGCACAGGCTATTAATAATCTGAAATCAGTCGAAGAAAAAAAATTATTACAAAAACACGTCAGATCATCAGCACGGATCATCCCCAAAAACACGATCATGGAATTTTAAGCAGGAGAACCAGAATACGGTTCAAAACTAAAACGCCCACATCGGGTAGTGCGCACTCGATTCGTATGGTTACATTTTTACCATCCTCCGACATCACCGTCGGTCCCCAACTGATATGCGTGACCCGGGTCCCGAGTCTGAAACTGGTGACCAAGGAGGGCGCATAATCTTGATCCAGACGAATGATTTGCAGTGAATTCGAAGTACCTGCATCAGGTGAGCGGCGGGGAGCGGAAATGGAAAAAGCAGTCGAAAAGGTTAAAGGTCTAGACAAGAGGATTCGGTAACAGACAGTGAGACGCTTACCAGCGGCGAGCAGATCAGGTGAGCTCGAGCTCCATTTGACGCGATAGACCTCCTCGACTCCAAACGAATAACTCGAGAGAAGCGTGTCACCCATAATGTTTTCTGTTCAATTCCACTTCCTCGGAGTCGTCCTGTATTTCCGCAATGACCTCACGAAGCGCTTGATGCTGGGGATGTACGATGTTCCCAAACCTCAGAGAGAGACGCGTCAAGTTCCGAGTAAGCTAACGCGTTGATGTGATTGTCGGAATCGGTCCCGATGAGGTTGGATTGGTCGACGGAGGCTGTGTTTCTTTGTCCAGCATTTGCTGTGAGTCTGTGACAGGGAACTTCCATCCCGGATTCCCAGATGGGCAAAACCTGTGACAGTCTGGACTCCTGGAGTCCGGGACTGCACACTGCACAGTATGTACCTCTCAGATCAATTTGCAGAGATTGAATGCAAACAACATGGGATTACATTATATAGTATCACTCAAAACATCTCCCTTCTTGTGAAGAAAACCAAAATCACAATAGCAGCCTGATTCCTACATTTAATAGGATTTTGAGAAGCCTGGTGGCCCAGCAGGATCTGTTATCTTGGCCAAAGGTTAACCAATGATCCATTTCCTACCACCTTGTTATATCCCATCAGGCCAGCTGTCTCAACCCATTTTAACTAGGTTGAGTGCATCCCAGATTAACTAGGATACCCCCAACCCAGCTAGGATTTCTGTCAGTGCCACACATGAGGAATTTGCATACTATCAGGACCATATTTTGGATGATCAATTCATCTGGAGCCTTGATCATTGGGTCTTTCAATGACATCCCATGTGGCCCATATCAGGAAACTCACAGATAACCACTTGACTTGATGGAGGGCTGAGTTCCAAAGAGGTCATAAAAGCCACTAAAAGCCTGACCTTCCAAACCAATATTCTAACTTTCCTGATGGGCTCTGGAGCCTTGCTCCCTCTCAAACAGGGACCTTGAGTTAAGCTAGGTGGAGAGTGGGGAACAAGGAGGAGAGAAGAGCAAGAATCTAAACAAATAGGTTGAGAAGAGACAGGATTTGGATGAGCAAGATGATGATGCAGATGGACATCACAAGAGACACTTTCACTCAGAAGAAGCTTGTTCTAAAATCCAGTTTAAGGGACTTCATCGTAGAGCTTTGGGAATGCAAAACCTCCTTACGAGAGACTGAACTCAATTCATAGGCATAGCCCAAAAAAGGCAATTCAAAAATCCACACATCAGCAGTCCAGAGCTGTTTGTGGGATATATTTTGAACCTGGTTTTTGATGGCCTCTTGGCACTTTACACCTGCAATGCCAGCTTCAACATTACTTCCCTGCATTTCTCGCCTGTTCTGCCACCCCCATACAAGTCAACCTGCAACACTATTGGTTGGTGACTTTTTGGTTTGTACGATGAACATTATTCTACTTTTTTGGCATGATTAAAAGTGATTTATTCATGAAGAATTTGATTGAAATCGTGTTGTTCAGCAGTAAATTCCAGAAAATGATGATTGTTCACTATTGTGTACAATTAGGTATAGCATGAAGTTGATACAACTTGTGTGATGTTAGCAACAATGGTTTACTCCGGAGTACATACAAATGTGTCTATTAATACATCATCGCCTCGAGTAGTGATGTAGCACACTGAGTTAGGGACCGGAAAGGAGATTGAGAGGACTGAAGACCGAGATACCGTATCACAAAAGTTAGGGAAACCTGGTGGCAAAAAAAGAAATCTAAAGATATGGATCCAGGGATAGAAATGGGTTTCCTTCAAGATAGGTTGATGTGCCGAGGAGTCAACCACACTTCTTCGCCATCTTCAACGACGTCGGCCCAGATTGCTGAACATTGATTGGTAATAAGATGTAGTTGGTTCCCTGGACGGATCGTGAACAATTGCAAGTCTGATGTAGAATCGCTGTGAGAATGCGACAGGAGCTCAGGCTTGAACATGGTTATGATCATGTCGAATATCTTTCCGACAACCGTGTTCTGCGGTGGATTAAGAAATTAAGAGACAAGAAGAGGGGAATTAGCGTTGTAAAGTGAATTGGATTGGGGGATACACTGAGGATATACTCACTTTGTCAAACCATATCGCCCTGGGCTCTGTGGCCAACGCGCGCTGTTCGTCCCATTTCAGGTTCTGCAGGTCACCAGTGGGGACAACACAACCCAGACGACCATACCATCGAGAACTAGGTGGAACAGCACTATCCTTCTTCTGAGGATCACCACTGACGGCTTGCCGTTTCAACATGATCAGTTTCAATGCTGGACTAAGCTCCTTGGCAGGGCGGGTAGGCTGACGCTCCCTCTTAGATGCAACAGGAAAGCGAGCGGCTAGGATTTGTTTAGCCTTCGCGTTTCGGTCTTCATTGATGACGGTAGCTGGCGGAGGCGTGTGGTCGTTGACGAGCTGACGAACGGGATCGCCAGTCGAGGTGCTTGCTTCTTCTCGTCGTTCCGCGCGCAAGAATGGAGGGAGTGAACAGTCATGGTAAAAGACGTGTGCATGCGAACTACAGAAGGCGAGATGACAGTGGGGGCAGACGAGGGGTAGGAAGTCGAGCGTGCGGCAGTCTGTCTTTGCGCAATGCTTTCCAGAGTTGAACGCATCGTTCTCCGTAAACGATTCCGGCTTGTTCTGATCGGACATATTTGGTCTTGCTGTAGTAAATCTGTGGGATTGGTTCTTTCGGCCGTTCCAGGAGCGAGAACATCGAGTTTATATATTTGTGAGTTGTATGTTGCTGGCCATGTAGTGCTTCATCCATCGGATCCCAATCTCCGCCACATGAAGAAGACCGAGGAGGACCGCGTGCGTCATCCAGCCCGGCCGAGCTCACGACGTCATCCAGTCCCACGCCCAGGCCCGCAGCCCCGAGCCGAGCGAGCTCAAGCCGCACCTGCCCTGTTTAAAAGCCCGAGCTTGTCCAAGCATTTGAGCAACCGGCAGCTCAGCCAGCTCCGATTGGATGCCGCCTTCCTCACGATCAATAGTATATCCAATCAAAAGGGACATCAATTCTCAATAAAGAATGCCTAACTTAACACGGAAATCATAGAAAGAAGATGAATCCAATCGAGTCAAAAGTCACTGGTCGGCGCAAATGCGACAGTGCCTCACCCACCCCAACGCCGCTCACAGTCACAGCAGAGAATCAGGGACCGGTGTTGAGTTCATCAGTCAAGATGCTTGTATATTTGATAGCCACCGTGTGCTAGGGCTTTTTCTCCTTGGCTATGTGCTACCTGCTTGTGCCGTTGGCCGTGAGTATAGGGCAGCCACCAGCACAAACGTGAAGCCATGTGCTGATAGTAGATATTGGGGGCAAATGGTTCTCCCGACATGGGGGCTTAAAAATATCTGATATTTCCGTCCGGTCCACTAATGGAGCTTCCTGAGCCCGTAAAAAAGTAGGAAATCATTTCCTCTTGGCCACAGCTTCCAGCTCCTATGCCCCATCTCACTTAACTCACAGAAAGCCTTCAATAGTCACATTACACATCAGATTTCATAAACACTTCTTAAGCATGCAACTCTTTCTCACCGGCCTCTGCGCTCTCCTAGTCTTGTCGCGCGTTGGGGGCTCGCCAATCCCTATCAATCGTGGAATGAACACCCCGCCCTCAAGTCCCCCGGACGGCCAGAACGGATCAAACAGCAGCCATCATCAGAACACGGGCGGCAACAGGGCTGGCAAGGCTCCCCATGATGATCCTTGAAGTCACAAATTGCGTTCGCTAAGTCACAGTATTTTGCCGCAAGAAGGTGGGTTGCAGTGCACCTTGACTGTTGCTTCGAGGAGTCACTCTGATCTCAAACTGACTCTTCGCTTGGCTTCCATCCACGTATGACTGGCGACTGGCTTCCTTACTCGATAACCATCTGCTTTTTGGAACTGGTTTCCCTTCGCAAACTGTCATCAGTGGTTCCCTTCACCCTGGCATTCAATTCAAAAAATCGTCCATCTCACACCAAGTCGCGGTTCTCTTCATCTTAGTTTCTCTTAGGAAAGATCCGAACCTTTGTTACAATATTACATGTTATGAATGATCTTTCTTGAAACTTGAACGCGTTGCATTTTATACAGCCAAATGGAATCATAACACGAGTTCCTTTCTAGAGTGGACCTATTGATTAAGTTATTGTGTTTAGCATGCATGAATGGCTACTTAGTAGAGAACCGGTTGCGAGGGTGGAAAGGATGCAAGATCCCATGTCATGTTGACTGTCTGTTTTTTGAAGCGGAGGAGACGAATGACTCCCTTCATCACTTAAGATGCGTGTCCTCAGGCAGGAAGCACTCATTCAAATCGGGTTATTTGCGTTGATGCACAGAAAAAGCCATTGATCTCAAATGAAACCACACCAGTTGACCAGTTCCAAGCACATCTCTGTCCCAGAGTTAAGTTTACCAAGAAAGATCTGATCTACTCACAACCACTTGCCAATTATCCGGCGCCTATATGGTTGGTTTACCTTGACTCTAGCCAACACATGGAAGTTGCTGAAGTGACTGGCTTTAGCTGTATACACTTTCCCCAGGAACTTCATCTATTCTGAGCCGTTGGTAGCTTTCTCTTCACTTGGTCACTTTTTAAGGGTGCCGGACTATCAACTGCCTTCAGTCCTGCGAATGATTTTTCGGTGTCAGTCGATTTCCTAACTTGCCCGCTTGTGCCCAGAAGACCTGCAATACCATCTGTTCATTCACCCTTTGTATTTAAGTCGATGACTCTCCGGCTTTGAGGGGCGTTCAACTTTCCACTCTTCCTTTCATTGTGTTTCGCCCTGGGGGTAAAATGCACGCGTTCAGCCAAATCTTATCATCCACACATCAGTCCTAGAGACCCAATCACCATACCTTTCAACACATTTCTTGCTAATCAATACTCACATATCCAGAAAACAAGACACCCATACTTCAGTCCTTGCGCTACTGGTGAATCACGCCAAATGGAAAAACTCTCTCAACTTCAGGTCAGCCATCGGCACAATCATTCCCCAATCCGACCGACCCGTCATCACTCATCAAGGCAGCTCATACCGCGACCAGAAATCCAAGCAGGCGCAACTAGCCCAAATCGTGAAAATAATGATATACACTCAGTTCCGCTTGGTCTGAAGCCATCGGCTGCGAGTCCAATCACACCAGTCTCGACTGAGGAAGCCCACCCGGTTCTGTCCCCACCGCCAGTCGCGCCTCTACCAATTCCAATCATCCCACCTGCGCCCCGAGAAAGCTCGCCGATCCCTTCCCCGCCGTTGGTCGCTGCTCTACCGGTGACACCGCCGCTACCCACTGTATCTGTCCTACCCCATTCTGTTACACCTACCCCGGCCGTCCAGATTGCCAGTGCATCCCCGGCTCCGACGACCTTAGCAATTGCTTCCAAACCTAGTCCTCCTCTACCGTCCTGTTCTGCTGGCGTGAACTGCTCACCCACCGTAGTAAACGTCTTATCACCCGCACCTCACCAGACACAAGGCCCACATCGATTGTCCGCAAACTCCAATTCCAGCTCAGGTGTGATCTTCTTCTCTTGCGTGGCTGGCATCATTGTTCTCTGTGTACTAGGTGCTATCCTCAGTTGCGCATTGAGAAGATGGCGAAATAAAAGACAACAAAGGAGCGATGATCGAGATGCTTGGCAGTTCCTGGAGGTTAGTAACATCTCAGACTCAGAGACTCATGATCTCGCCCAACAAACATCTGAACTTCTTGCTGTTTGGTTTCAAAAAAAAAAAAACATTTCTGTAGAACTCCAAGGACTTTCCTGATCTTTCGCATGAAAACAAAGACGAGTTTTCAGTGAAAAGCTCTCACTTTGGAAATGATTCTGAATCTCAGTCCAACCCGACAAATTTCTATCCCACCCTGGGATTCACATCACACGTCCAACAACAAAATCAGCAGGCATTAGCTCGATGTCACTTTGCCGACTTTCAGACACAGCCACCCCAACATATCAACAGTTTCGTCGACGAGCAAGGCATGAACAATTTTATTGATGAGCAAAACATGGGCTGGGTGGCCGCTCCAGTTCCCGTCTCATCACAATACCATGGTGTTCTGTTAGCACCGTATGGGCCTAATCCAGAGGCAGTCGAAGCTTATCAGATATCAGGATGTGCCATTCCTGAACCAGTTTTTCGAAAAACTTCAATTGCAGGAAATTTTGGTAATCGATCAACCATGTATACCCTCCCGTCTCAAGCGCTTCACTCAACATGTACTCGTCCAGCTTCAGTTGTCACTCGGTCCAATACGACGGCCTCTAACCAAGAAACCAAATTAGAATCATTGGTACGCGGGACTAGCCTCGCATGTTCCGAACAACAGTCCACGGTTATTGAAGGGCCCCCACAAGGAATGATTGACCAAAGTGCTAATCTTCGCGCTACACTGAGAGATGCCATTCATAGGAAGAAGGACTCGGATGAAGAACTATTAGATTCACTTATGCTTCTGTGGCACGACAGGAATTCCGAAGCCCCCACAGGCCCCGCCAGACTTCAAACCCCAGAGATTTCTCCTCCAGACCATATCGAGACAGCGAAGACATGAGTCATGACTTGACGTGATCATGAAGCAGAAGAAATGAATGGAAAAAGATAAGCGCCCACGTTGCTTAAAGGAAAGAATCCTTAATTATGTGGACATTTGAAAATGCTCCAAATGTCGAAATTTGACAAACCTGGGAGTGGCCAAACCCAGATGTCACCGTCGGTCTCCCATGTAAATACGATTCTCCCTGATTCTCCTGCCTGGCGTCTGTTGGTAACTTGGACAGAAACGAAAGTGGTTGTAGTGCCGGTTTCAGCTAGCCGAAATCCACGAGCCCCTTGGTAAGCTGTTTGTGCATCGTCTTTCTCTGCAGTTATCACTATTACTCCCATCCAACTCCATTGACAAGATGATCAATCCAGGTGTCATTAATTACAATACTCCCTCCGAGCGTGGAAAGAAAGTCCGATTCCAGGAAACCAGTGGTATGCCGAAAAGCAACGACGAGGAATCCAATGAATCATTTAGTCAAATCCCACTCCTTTCCGCCGAGAACTATCCAGAATGGGTCTTGAGAATGAAGATACATTTGAGACACGTTGGTCTGCTCGATATTTGCACTACCCCATCACCAGCAGTTCCCGACGCGGATTACAAGAGAAAAATGTACGATGCGGTCAACATCATTGCCGGAAAACTGTCCAGCCCGAGCTTCATGGAGGTGGTCAACTCTGATAACGAATTGGATCCCTACTTGATATGGAACAAAATCAATTCCCATTTCGGGATGAAAGCGGCGACCATCAAAGCAAAGGTCTGGCTCGAGTTCACCCGAATCCCATTCGATGGCGACCTCAAATCATTCACCAGTGCCTGTCGTAAAAGCCTCAATGAACTCGAATCAGTCGACCCTCAAATTCCGCCAGATGTTTTGGTCTGCTGTATCTTAGGCAAAATCCCTAAGCGATATCATCATCTGGTCGATCCTCTGATACATGACCAATTCATAATCCAAAGTCCTCATAATACACTCACTCGCATCGAACAGTTCGATCCAAGACAAGACCAAAAATCCCTTTAGCGTTCATTGTACCATCCTCCCGCTTATGTCAGACATTAGAAAACCACATCTTTATTCTTTTATCCTCATCTGTAAATGTGCAGACTGTTATAATTATGTTCATTTTGAATTTACAACATATCCATCATCTTTGAAAAAAGCGAGACTCGTTCACATTATAAAAACCTGTGCCTTTGGATCCGAGAACATCGTGATCAGCCGGCTTGGATGTGTCCCTATGAATTGATTTGTTGGATATCGGGCAATCCAGTGTTGGATGTTCAGTCCCACTTGAGTTGCTGGCGCATAATCCGTATGTCAATCGGCGCCTCAATCACAATTTCATCTCGTGATCTTAACAGGCGTCGTAGCACTTGTGCAAATATCTATCGATCCAAAATCCTGCGAACAGATAACAGAACCCAATTTTAAATAGTATGCACCCTTAGAAGTTAGAGCAAGGGATACTGCGTCAACTATTCAGGTTAATCTAGCCGACCTCGATGCTTGCAGTGGCCATTCGGAATATAGCGGCTGGGTGGACCGCTAGCCAATCGTGATCGAGATGTTGTTGTTCTTTGAAAACCCGGGAACTTGGGGCCGGGCCGGGTGACTATGGCGGTGAGGACCAGCCGGCCTGTGTCCTAATCCAGCAAGGCCAATCCATTCCTTCATCAAACTAGTAACATCGCATTCTTGCTGGTTGCATCAGGGCCACCGTGGTTTAGCAGAATTGGAGGCTACCCGGCCCATTTCGCTGGCAAGCCACCCTATGTGCCACCTCATGAAGTCCAGTTTGGAACAGAATCCTCCTGCCCTGGACTTTTTCTTCGCCTTGTTTGATGACTAGTGGATGATTTCAAAATCGCTGTGCGGGGTTTTGTGAGGGGCCCAGTGGGACATTACTATAAAAGCAAGGCCAGATATCCTGTTCGTCCTGCCCTCCTCATCCCACCTCATCTGATAATCTATCCCTTTCTTCTGACCTTGACCTATCAACCTTACCAGCATCCATCAATCACCTATCATCATATTCACCCAGCCAAATTGACCAGCTTACAACTCATCGCCACAAACTGTCCACGCGCTCTCTCAGTTTTTCAATCTCGTGATTCAAAACCAGAAAAACGAAACTCTCAACTCGTCCATCTATCTGAAATACCCCGGCGATTTATCTACCAAGATGTTGACAAACTCACTCAGCAACAGCACCATCTCCTTCTGCTTTTCGCCCGACACCAGTATCTCGTCCTTCACATCATGTGGCAGTCATCTGGCTGTTCTAGGCGAGCTAGTCCAGTGTGAGGAGGAATACAAAGCAGCTCTCCGAGTTCCGATATCTCTTCAAAACGCCCTAGCGCCTCTGCTTGACATGAAGACTACAGCTCATCCGATTATCCAGCGCGACTGGTACCAAGAGGCAGAGATTGGGCTGATTCTCTACCTTGCCGGAACCTCCTCGGCCTCGAGCGAAGAACAGTCTGCCTCGCTCTGCCAGTATTCTCTGGCGCTAGAGGCCTCGCTTTACGCTGAAGAAAACAGGAAACTGGCCGGCCAAACCAAGCTCTCGCCGACCTCCATCATCAAATCGATCAAAAACTGGTGGATCTCTAGCTGAATCAACTCGGCGAAAAATCAAGCCAATCAAATCTCTACCAATCCATGCCCTTCAAGCCCTCAATTCGGGTCTGAAGCGAACTTCGCCCCAGTCTGCGCCCTCTATGCATCGCAATGGCTCCAACAAGAGACCTCTGACAGAAGCATCCAACAGCTCACCATCCGAGGCAAGAACACCCAAACCATTCAGAGGACCGGACCACGCCCATCGGGATATTCAAATCCAACTGAAATTGCTCAACTTCTAAATCAGGGCGAACTCCCAAATAAACATCTTAAAACCTCTTCAATCCACCTTCGACATCCCCTTTAGTCTACATGTTCACTCGCAATCAACCTCACTCTAGACATCAATCCAGGATTTTAAGTTGTGTCTGTTACTTATTTGTCCCGCTCGCTCAATCTGTTCATCCGATTTTCATTTTACATCATTTTACACTCTCCTATCTCGAAGTTTTTTCTCATCGTTTCCTTTTTCTGTTATCCTTTGAACGCCTTCATTAATCCTCACACCCGCGTTTGTTTGGACGCCTAATAGTCATTATTCTCTCGCTCAATCTGTTCATCTGATTTTCACTTTAGATCACTTAATTACACTCTCCTATCTCTCATCTCATCGTCTGTTTTTCTGTCTAGTCCTTCCAACTCTTACTTATCCTTTGAACATCCCCTTTAATTGTCGTTCCCGCTTTTCTTGAATACTTAATAGTCATTTTCCTGCAAAAAAAACTTACTCTTTCAAAACTGCATGATACACACTTCTCACACAAAAGTGACACCCAATGTAAACTGTCCATTGACAACATCATTCTCTCCCAACAAAAAGAAAGAAGGTCAGCGTCAGTCAGCAAACCAATGAAGACTTGATAAGTTTCACCAATTGATTGGTCAGAGAAACTGCATTGTTGTTACGGTCACCCATACTATGTACATATCATGATGATTTTTTTTACCCTAAATCACCTGTAATGGCACAGAAACTCATGCTCTATCAAACTGAATTACTCTTATCTCCCAAGGAATATAAGTTTATAGAGATTCAGTGGTATTGGGTGATTTACTTCTACTCATTAAATATCCATTATGTAAATATGTGACATTGCCGTAAATATGTGACATTGCCATGAGTCTTGGGGATGCCAAATCTTCAACAGTAAATTTTGGTGCCAATGGACTATTGAACAATATGATAATTTTTTCTATCAGTTCAAGGAGGATTCAAAATAAGAAAAATGAAATGTAGGAGTGTAAGAGGTTGTATCACAGTATATATCTCACCATAGGCTCTTTCACTTTTTGGGAAAAAAAACTCAGAACAAAAAAAAATTAAAAAGATTTAGGTGAAAGATATAATCCCAGTATGATTTCAAAAGATTCTTGGATTCTTGATCAAAGGAATTCAAGCTGAAAGATCATCCTCCTACTACAAAAAATGTATAGAAATAATAGCTTTTGGTTCAAATGTAATATATGCAAGAAAGTTCAAGCTGGCATAAGATTTTTGAGATCTTCTGAATAGTCTATGTCAAGCCTACTTGATTGACCTGCTTTTATCCTCCAGCTTGTTGTAGATTCTTGAATCAACTGATCTGAAAACACTACTAAATTTTGACAACTTTTCAGTTCTTCATCTATTTCTTTTTGGATGGATTTCTTGGATGAATTTTCAAGAAGGTGCTGTAGTTTTGAAGTAGCTTCTTTGTAGCTTTCATGTAAATTCATCAATTTTTCATAAAGATTATGCTTTATCATCATCCGATCAAGTGAATTCTTCTTCTTCATTTTCTTTAATTTGTATTCATCCCTGACATATACATCCATCAGATTGAGGTAGTTGGAAAATCTTGAAAATTGCAAAAGCATCTTGTACTTCGTTTCAAAATAGAAGGGTATGTCATCCATTTCATTCAGCTTTTTCTCAACAACACCTGGATGAAATTTCTGTTCAATAAAATCCAACATCTGACTGGCAGCCATGTAAAGTAAATAAGTGCTCTCTTTCTGATTTTCAAATGGAGTTCCAATATCTTTGTTCATCATGCTCAAAATCTTGATCAGTTTTTCCACATCATCTTCAATGATTTTCTTCTCCTGATCATTCAATTTTGGGGTACTTTGACGTTTTCCATTATTCAATCCTGATTTGTAACTTTGTGAGTAATCAATCTCTTTGATTTTTTTCATGTATATGTTTTCTGGTCCACAATCAACAAAAGAGAACCAACGGGCATTCCATAGAGGGTCCTTCCTACGTTGAAGTCTTCTATATTCAGGATGCAAATCCTGAATGTGTTTGGTCAAAATTGAAAGCTTCATTCTATCTTGATCTTGAATATTTAGAACTTTTTACCCATTTTTTTATTTCATCAGAGAATTGGATAAAAAGAAGATGCATATTAGATTACTGTTAAGGTTGTTTGAAGAATTTAAATAAGAAACTTACCACCCAAGAATTCATAATCAAATGGCCAAAACCAATGCCCATATAGATCTTCCAAGCCACTCTTGATTTCATTTGCAGTAAGTGAAAGGAAGTGTGAAAGATGATTGATGGTTTCAAGACTTGTAATCCAAAGAACATGATCATCTTGAAAGAGCTTTTTGACACTTTCACCATCAACCAATTCATGCTTATACAAGAAATTGATTGTCTGTAATATGTAAGGCAGAGTTCCACGCTGATTATAGGGGAATTCCTCAAGCAATTGCAATGCATGACCCTGATTTGCATAGTGGTTGATGAGTTTCTTGATTTTTTCCATATATAAATTCCCCACTTCTTTCAGTTTTGATTTGGAAATTGTGGGCAGGACACCATCAGTTAATTGGTGAACAATTTTAGAATATGGATGGTCTGGTTTAATCAATTCTAACAGTTTTTGCATGTTTGAGTGCTCAATTCCTAATACTTTGCAGAACTTGAGTTGTGAAAATAGGGTTAGATATTCTTGAGATTTTCTCAAACATTGGTGAATCTTGGGATTTTGAGAGATCTTATTTTGATTCCTCAGAAAAAGATTCATATCTTTGAGCTGTTCTAATTCATTCTGAAAGACTTCTAACTCCCCTATAATATTAAATCAAACTGGTTAGTAACTTAAAAAACAAACAGGGGGGAAAGTGTGCTTACCTTTCTTGCTTTCAACCAGTTCCCCAAAGTTATGTAGTACTGGAGATTGGACAATTGGTATCTCAATTTCATCAATTATCAAGAGATACAAGGTTTGAAAAAAAAGACTTACTTGCCTCATCAGTCAAGACCTTCATGTGCTGATGAATTGCAAGTATTCTATCCTGCAATACCTGAGGGTGTTCCTTGATCTTCCCGGGATATTCTGAAGTTGTCAGTTTCTCAGAATTATCTAGGAAACCATTTTTCAATTGCTTTGCTTCAGGAGATTTGTCATTATGGGGAATAGAATGTGATTCCATTGGGGTCGCTATTTTCATGGAGATTCATGGAAACCAAAGCAGAAACAGAATTAAAATCAATCAACGCTCCATGAAACTGATCAAGGAAAAACAGTCAAAGCTAGATGATTAGAAATCCAATCAGACCTTCAGGAATAAATACGGGCTTTTTTGGTGTTTCTTTTGAGGTTGGATTTTAATGAATGAAAGAAGTCAGACAGACAGAATGCTTATACACAATGCAAATGGAATTATTTCCAGGAAAAGAGTATACATAATAGAAACATACCTTGGAGATTGGTCCGATAAGCAAGTCTCCTTGTTACAGCTTCGGAGCTCCATGGAAACTCGAGGGCACTGAGGGTAGCCGTGACAGACCATGCGCTAATGAGCACAAATTGCAAGAGCATGTTGCTATTTTTAGACAGTGGACCCCCGTAAGAAGAATGTTGGCTCGATGGAAATGCGACTATTTTTGATCCTAGCCAGTCATGCCCCCTCACCCAGTATCTATATAACTTCGAGCACAGGCATTCTTGCACCTCAGCTGATTCTAGTGATACACATTCTCAAGTGAAAACTTGCACCTTTCGAGGGAGGTAAACTTGACATCTAGTTGATGTACGTCTGTGTATTTGACTGCGACCTCCACGCTACGTGTAAGCAGATTGGCCAACAGTGTGTACAATTTCCGTTATTTGCTAGCCGTCAGCGACACCGAAGCAGGAGGGTACATATATTGTAGCAAGCAGGTGAGGGTTGTCTTGCGATATTGCCGAAACACAAAGCCAATCGAGCGCAAGCTCTCGAGTTAGGTCCGGCTGAAGGCTGTCGTCGTCTCGGACCGGTTGTACACATTACGCATCATGTTACCAATACCAGTCAGAGCAATCACTGCCATTCAAGAACCATGCAATCTGAGATACCCCTTCTTCATGAATTAAGTTTGAATATCAGACCGCCAGGACTCGTCAGAATGAAGTATGAACTGCCCTTGCCCAATGATATGGTTGCGATGTCCACCAGATACGGGTAAATGTTATACCAAGTCACAATGATACTTCGAGCTCCAACACAGCGACTGTCCACAGCGACTGTCTGGACGACAGTATCCTCATGATTGTGGTCCGCCCGAGGCGTCCTCGACCATCTATCGACATCGATTGTTTCCTCTTCCGTTGGTCTATTCTAGAGCAGATAATACACAGATCGCGTTCAAATTGTCTGATGGAGCACTATGTCGACGGGCTATGTTATGAATTGCGAAACGCACCCTGACCCTATCACAAAAACGGCACCGCTCATGAAAGGTAGTATTTAGCAATGTTCCACTGACCAATGGTGATGTGCCAATATGATGTTAGGCTGCACACGCACACGCATATACAACTCATCATACTTGTCATCATTGTAGTGATGATGATAGTCATAACTTAGCTAAGAGGATTCGCATTCGAGCTCGAAATTTTCAGATTATTTAAGCATGGAGGAGGCAGGTGAACTAACTTCAAGGAGCGACCACGAGGGTAGGGTCGAGTCAGCCCCGTAACCTGAGAAGTGCAGTGCGAAATGTTGAGCCCCTTCGGGACCCTCCGATCGAGAGGCTTAGTTAAGCTCGGTTAAGCCCGAAATCTAGCTTTTGGTGAGTTTGACCCGAACTACATAGTCTGGGTCGGTGCGGTCGCCGGTGTTCGGGTCAAGTTAGCAAATTGCTAAGGAAAGGATGCCCTTCGGACCAGTCACACACAGTTGAAGCAGTAGTCTTCCCTTCCTGTCGTCACAATAAATGGAACCAACAGAAAAGTGCTGAAAAATGGATGAGCAGACTCACGCCGATACAGCTATGTAGAGTGATCGAGAGCCTTTGGACCGGAAAGAGCATCAATTATTGTGCATGTGAGGCGGTACCGACACTGTCAACTGTGAACACTAGAATCCATGGGTGCTACTATGGCAAACTATCTTGTACGGTTTCGGCACCTCGGCAGCCTCTGGATGTGGGACCGATGAGTCGGCGGATCGACGGGCCAAGCAGTTGATACGGAAATTCAAGGTGCTGGAGATCATATTGTTTTTTTTTTTTTGCAATAAATACATGACAGATGCGGCGAGAAACTTTCAAGACAATTTGCAAGTGTTGTGATAAATAGCAGCAAGGAGAGTGAGAGCCAAAGAAAAAAAAAAGGATGAGTGGTAAGCCTCACAGGAGTAGACTACAACATGACGAGGGAAAGAAGGGGTTCTTGAACTATCTTGCGATAGAATGAATGTATCAAACATTTGCCTTGTGATATATGGAGCGGTGCGAGCTTTTGTTGGGCTTGCCCGTAAACAGCATAGGAAGATAGTTGAAAACATGGTCAGAATGGTGATGGATTCGAACATGCCAAAGGTCACGATAATATTTGACGAATAGATGAATGATGTGGAAAGGAAATTGGCACAACGAAGGCAGAGAAATAGTACAGTATGGAAACATATAACATATTTTATGGCCGGCAGCACTTGCCAGGCCGATCTGGGGTTCACTTGGATGACATGTCAGCCCTGATTGAAGTCAAAACGAAAATAATCTAGTAGGGTAGTAATAGTCATGATTTAGTATATCGTTCCTTCATCATCTATTTTAAGGGTGAAATAGCTGTGTTTCAGGGCCTCCTTGACCGTTATGCGCTTGTGAGGCTCCCACTCAAGCAGTTTGCTGAGCAAATCCCTGAAGCGCGCATTTTGGATCGATGTTTGAGGAATGATGTCCTGCATAGAGAAGAACCGGGTCAGTCAACAAATAGTCTTATGGCTGCCAAGATGCGAGTTGGAGACTGACCTCTAGTGGACGCATGGCTCGTACAAACTTGCGACTTTGGCGGGTTGTGCTAGACTGTGGATAGTCCAGGCGATAGTTTTTGGTGAACCATTCTGCGCGATTACGCCTAAAAACCGACAAAAACTCAGCTTGTGTGCATTTCACGGCGAGGCAAGATGAGACTTACGCGGCTCTCCTTGCGAACGATTCGGGCATGGGGCCGAACACAGCCTCCATCATGGCGAGATGCTCCAAATTTTCATGAGTTTGGAACAGGGCTTCTCCAGTGAAAAACTCGACTAGGATACAGCCGATGGACCAAACATCGCAGGGAAATGACCAGGGCATGTCTAGCAGTAGAAAGTGACATTAGCATAGTACCGATGTGTGTTCATTGAGAGAAGCGCCTTACTCAAAATAATCTCAGGTGCTCGGTAATGCCGAGTGGAGACGACCGATGCGTGATACTCATCCTCAAAGGTGGCACTACCAAAATCAATGAGGCGAATATCGGAACACCGTAGAACCTTTTTTGATTTATTGGCTCCCCGCTGAATGGGCGACACCAAGAGTTAGAATCATGGAAGGCATTGAAAATAAGACAGACATCTTACCTTGGTAGAGATTAGATGAGACGAGGCATCAAGTAGTAAGATGTTTTCTGGTTTGAGATCAGTGTGAACCAGGCGAAGCTCGTGCAGAACTGGGACGAAAATAAGACGAAGGTTAGGAAGTCATGTCGACGATTTATAAACAAAGCTAAAGACGTACAGGCAACACTGGATAAAAGTTGCTTGGCAAAGCTTTGAATGTGGCTAGCCGGGAAGGGGCTATACTGATTGTCTTTGAGGAAGTCAAAAACAGAGAGTGACAGTAATTCTGTCACGATACAAATGTGATTGCAGTAATCGAACACATCGAGCAGATGGATACATTTGCTGCCATGAGAGAATAATCGTTAGTTGGCAGGTGTGCTGGATTGCTACCGACAGGGTGAACTCACTTGACATTGTCGGGATCTCTTTCGCGAAGAAGGTTGAGGACCTTGATTTCGATCTTGCTGGCATCTCGATCTGAAACAGGCCACAAAGGAGTAAGCTAGGAACTCCAATCGAGTGACGGAATAAACTCACATTTTTGTACAGCGCGAATAACTTTGACGGCTACTTCTTTACGACGGCCAGAGCGATCGATCGGCGCATGAAGGTCTGTAGCTTGAACCACCTTACCAAAAGTGCCTTGACCGAGGAGCTTGACGACTTGGTCTAGTAAAGATAGGAAGTCAGTGGCTGGGCAAATGGCCAGACGTCTGATGTTTACTCACAGCGATGATCGCCCAACAGGTCATCCTGACGAACGATGTAGTGACCCTCTTTGTCGTCAATAGGAAGTCGTTCTGGTTCGTGACGCTTTGCCTCGCGCGCTTCGTCTCGCTAGTGGAAAAAAGTGGGAGCATGGATTAGTCGGGAAAGATATGCTTTAGAAGGACGAAGACAAACCTGTTGACCAGATGAATAATTTTCGTATTTTCTTTTGCTTTTGACCAGAGGCTGAGGTTCCTGGGATTGAGAGATAACTAATGAGTACGAGCATCGGTCGGCTGGATGGATAAGCTGCTAACTTACTGAGAAAACGAGCAATCTAGTCAGCATGTGGGTCAACAGAAACTGCGAGTACGGTCAAGGTCATCCCAACTTACCGTTATTATTGGATGGACGGGCGAAGCCGCTACTTTTTGATGGGCCTGAGTGGGGTGCTAGATGAGGAAGAATTGAAGGATCGAGGAAGGATGAAGGAGTCAGTACCATTGCAATGGACAACCAAGTTACTAGCTCAAGTGGTCAACAAGGTCGGAAATAGTATAACTACTAAAAGCAGATATCAAGCCTAGCTATGGGGATTATTTTCCTTGCTAAACGTTCATTGGAGAGGGTGTGGCAGTAAGGTGGTCGAGGTAGATGGAGAGCGGGGATGTGTGCATGTATATGTATGGGGGCTCTTTGAGACTAACTTGGACTAGGAGTATCAGCTCAGAACGATAATTTCCCTACTTTGACCACTACATTTATCGATGAAGGTATCCAACTTCCAAGCGCTCTTGGATGAGTTCTGGTGGTTCTGGTGAGGTAGCGCTCGATGGTAGGACCTTGTATTATAAGTGGAGAGGCTCATGGTTGGTTTCCGGTCTTGCTGTAACTGACGATGGGGCCAGGGTGGACGACATGAGAGGAATCGATTGGAAAGATGTAAGAGTGGAGCCCGAGTGGGTGGGAGGGAGGGGAAGGCAAAGGAAATACTGGGAGGACTGCTTGCTAAACCGGTGAGAAGGAAGTAGAGACTTGGGGGGGGAGATGGTCAGAGGGAAGGAGGTGGATGGTGGTGGGAAGATTTATAAGCCAGCAGGCGGAGAGGGCATCCAGAAAACACAGGCTTGAACTTTGAAGGCGAAGGAAGTCAAGGGAGAGGGAGAGGCAGAGGGAGGGAGACCTCAGGCTGAGGAGAGCATATCACAACACCACACTGCAGGGCACATCACATCACACACCTACATAACAGCAGCCGACGGGCTCACATAACACAACACTGTACAGCGTGTACATGTGTTATGTACTCGCTGGGGAGCGAGACACTCGATGAACACCGAAGAAGAACAGCTTGAGACTCCTTTTTTACAAGGATAATTAAGCCCCCCTCCTCCCATCTCCCATCTCGCCCACCTCTGGCCTGTCATGTAGCCTCTGGCCCCCTCCAGAAGGACTCCCACCCCCAAAAACATTGCAAGAACCATCCATTTAAGGGAGCAATCTTGATGGAACAGTTTCAACAACCCATCTGCAAGGTTTCACGAATACATAGATCAGACACCTTATAAGCTTCAGCCGTCTAATCCATCTGGCTCATAATCCTCGAATTTGTTTGGTGTACATCATACGCCGTATCCTGACCAAGCAATAAATTGTTATGACTCTGAGCAATCGTAAAACAAAGTGAAATGAATAATGCTACCCATCTTCAAACAAACAAAAAAAAAACTCGAAGATCAGAGAAACGGGCGTCAACAGCGGCCTGTGTGGGCTATCTAAAAACCTGTTTCGACCGCACAAGATGACATCAAAAAAAAAAAAAAAAATGAAAGGAAACTGTTGATCCTTCAACTATTTAAGCTTTTTTTTTTCTTCTTCTTATAACCCTGAGAGGATTATCGATTATAAACAACATCATGAATGTAGCAGCCCCATTCCGCACCCATTCAGACACGGTTCGGTAATAGGGTTGCTAAAAGAGACATCTGCAAGTTTCACAACTATCCCTCATACATACAGCGACCGGCCAGAGTTATATCCACCTCATCTTCATCATCTCCATCCGACTGCTGTCGATCAGCGTTTAAAATCGTTACATTAACTTCAGTCCAGTCACGTGTGAGGTTCGGTACAACCTCATGCCGAACCAAAACCAAAAAAATGAATAATAAAAAATGACACAGTAGGCGCTCATTACTATTTTTATTATTTAATTGCTATTAGTATTATGTACTCGGCAGACTTCCATAGATTATACTCCCTCTTGTTGTCAAGCATCAAGCCTGGCCGGAGCCAATCAGGATCAGACAAAAATGTTTTGCTGTGCCATTGAAACCTCTTCCTGAAGCAAGAGTACGGAGGACGAAAAGTGTTGTAACAGCTCCTCCTCATGATAATCATCCATACATCATCGCTTCAGTTTGACAGCTATCATTGCACTCAGAGGCTCCAATCATCAGTTTCAAACAAGAGAAAAATTAGTCAAGCCCCAAACTCTGCCAGTGAAAGGGGCTCTGGAAATGGACAGGTTTTTAGTCAACTTATAGCCTTGACAGTTTTGTTCAGACTTTTGTGTAAACCACATCAGTCAAATCAGAATATTGAGATCTGTCACCTCAGAAAATTTAGTCTTATTACTAACTCAGTCCTGCCTAAAAATTTACACATTTCACAGCCTAGATCAGTGCCCTCCTATTGATCTAGGAGAATGCTGTGCATGAAGTGTGTTACTTTGATGTCCTGATACACATTCATCAAAAAACTCTTCTGAAGGCATAAAGATTGTTCAACATTGTAACCTTCTTTTGTCACCCAATATTTTAGATTAATAGATCTCAGACAGAATAGTAAATTAAAATACCCAAAAATAACTTTTGATCTACATTCCCCAATAGTGAGACAAAAATTGGGTGATCTTGACCTTTCAGAGAACCACTGTCACCTAGTGATTCAGGGAGCTAACCCATCTGCTACTCTAGCAATAGCATAAAAGTGTGGTTCTTTTCCATTAAGTTGTAATTTACAACAATAGTGAGACCCCTTTCCACTGATTGCCTCTGCAGTTATAGTGTGACCCAAAAACCCATCAGCACTGTGTCACATAAGAGACCTTCCCTGAAAGGGGCCAAGATTGTAGATTAGAATTATCAGATTTTTCCTGCCTTCAGGTATTGCTCTATTTCTTTTTAGGGAGTTGATCAACTGACTCCCAAATATCGGAGAGTCGACTCCCAAACCCGGGTTTCCCCAAAATTTGGGAGTCGATTCCCCAAACCCGTCAGTGGGTTTGGGAGTTGGCCTCCAAAAAAATTTAAATAAAAAAAAGAAAACCCCCGGCGGGGTTTGGGTGTCAATGCCAGAACCAAAAAAAAAAAAAAACGGCCCGGGAGAATCCTCCCGGCCTTGGAGAGTGCTCTTGACGGCTGAGAGAAAACCCTCTCGGCTGTTGAGTATAACCCTCAACAGCCGAGAGGGTTTCTCTCGGAGGTCAAGGGTGTACACCCCAACGGCCAAGGAAACTTCTCGGCCAAGAGAAACCTCTCGGCCATCGTGTAGGTGTAGCCCTCGACGGCCGAGTGAAACCTCTCGGCCATCGAGGGTGTACACCTCAACGACCGAGAGGAAACATGTACGACCGAGAGGGTTTCCTCTCGGTCATTGAAAATGTATACCCTCAACGGCCGAGAGTGTACCTCCTGGTCGTTGAGGGTATACACTCTCAACGGCCGAGAGGATTCCTCCCAGGCGTCGAGGGTGTACCCTCAACGGCGTGTACCTCTCGGTCGCCGAAGTGTACACCCTCGATGGCCAAGAGGATTTCTCTGGGCGGTGGGGGTGTACACCCTGGAGGGCGGAGGGGTTCATTTCGGCCGTTGAGGGTTATGCCCCTAACGCCCGAGAGAAATTGGCTTGGCCGTCCATGAAGCACTCTCGCCGGGAGGAATCCTCCCGGCCGCTGGTTTTATTTTTTTTTTATCACTGACCCCCCAATACCACTTGGTTTTGGGGGCATTGACACCCAACCCCTCCGGGGGTTTTTCTTTTTTTTTATTTAATTTTTTTTGAGGGGCCGACTCCCAAACCCACCGACGGGTTTGGGGAATCGGACTCCCAAATTTCGGTGAAACCCGGGTTTGGGATTCAAACTCTCCAATATTTGGGAGTCGGGTGGATCAACTCCCTTCTTTATATCATTTCGTCTAGAGTTTTCAATTGCATTTTATTAAAAGGAATACCATACTTATAAAGAAATATAAATTACCTTCAGTTCCAAATTCTTTCAAAAATCACCTCTATCTTCCACTCATGTCTTGCAGCAATTGGCTGCTATGCTACACTACGCTGAACAGCCCACTAAGAGCATCTCCAACGGTCCTGCTGATGCGGGCCCTGGGACCGACTTCAGCGGGCCACAAGGCTCTTTTGGACGCTAGCGGAGCTGCCAAGCAAGCTGCTGAACATCGCGGGGGTGGACCAAAGCTGCCCTTGGCTGCTGAGTTTGACAGCTTTGGCAGCTTTTCACCCACCCCCGCTCAACTTCACAGTCTGCATTTAGGACAACTGTGACAGACCGGTGACACCTCAGGACATCTGACTCCAGGCCACCAAAGGCAAGCCAATCCACACCCAGACTGTTAGAGATGCTCTAACATGAGTGTAGCAGCCCTCAAAACAGCACATCAAACCTGTACTGTTAGCGCGCTGTTAGTGCCACTACGCTATGTTATGCAGTGCTACAGTGGCAAAAATGGCCCAAAAAGCACTAAAAATGATGTAGCGCAGTGTAGCAGGCCCTTTTGTGTGGCCTGCATGTGTAGTGTTAGCACAGTCATGGAGGAAATCTGCTGTGCTACGCTCAATTTTAGCGGAATTCTGCTACGCTACGCTGCACTGATGCTACCATTAGTGTAGTGGGCCCATTTTTGTGTCTTGCTCATACCAAAAATGGGCCACTATGCTGTTTGCCCAAAATCTGTGAGCATAGTGGCACTTTCTTGCAGAAATTGTGTAGTGTTAGCACACCATTGTTGGTTTTTTGCTATGCTGAGCTCCTGAGTAATTAACTGACTCTAATTGACTAACTGAGGAGACAACAAATGAGGTGAAAAGAGCCTCCTTTGATAGAGAAATGTGAGGGAATTTAGCTCCAGGGCAGACAAGAAACAGTGATTTCAGCTGGCCTGTAGGTACAAATGAGTGAATTTAGCTAGTCTGATCATTTAAGAGAGGGAAATTGGCTCGTGAGGCTCTGTACAATTAATGACAAAGGCTGTGCACGGGAAAAGTAATTCAATCAAGACTGCACAGCCTGCAAAGGCAGTGCATGAGGTGACAAATAAAACCAAAATAATACATGCCGTGGAGATAAATAGGTGTGGGAAATTATGTATATACTGTGAGCTGTGTATAACATAACTGAGAGGTGAAGTCTGTAGAGTCCATTTCTGAAGTTGTATTGTTTGATTTCTGAAAGAATGTATGTGAAAAATGTCTATAAAGAAAAAAACTTTGAAATTTTTACATATTAAACTACCATAGCAGCCCCTTTTTTGGGGTGTGTATGTATAGTGTTAGCACAGATGTGGCAGAATTTTGAATGCTACGCTAAATCCTAGAAAAATTCTGCTACATTATGCCACACTAACACTACATTTAATGCAACTGGCCCACCCTTGCTCATACCTCTTCTCCCTCAGAAGCTACAACCCCAAAGACACCTACAATATACAACCTTCACTAGTTACACAATACAACCCTCAAAGATCCATATATGTGCCTTGAAATAACCTCCTTTATAACTAATTAGTACACAGTGTATACATGCATGCACATAGGCTGGATAGGTGGATCTTCTTAGATTGGCAGCTTCAGGTTACATCATTACATTATCTTAGCAGCTGCAGGTTTCATCATTGACCTGGCTTTAGATGCCTGATGGTTTGACAAATCACAAGCACTCACTCAGGTTTCAGGTCCCTCTCCAAGAACGGTGTGAGAACTCCTTTGGGATGGGTTGGCAGTCCTTGAGGAGGAAATAACAATACGATATTTCACAAGGTAGTATTTACTGTTACGGGTGGTTTGAAAGACCTGCCCCTCTATTTACTACACAAGAATTCTGACAACAACTTATTTTATTGTTGTGGCATGACTTTATGATGGAGAAAAACTTAGGCCCCGTTTGGCTGCAAATCATTATTTGTGATTTGGCTAAGATTGGCTGGGATTTGGACCGTGCGATATGAAACAATATAAGGTTTTTGCACAAACTCCTGCCAAACCTCAACTCAAAATTACAAATCATGGACGGCCAAACGGGGCCTTATATGTAGTAGTCTCTATCAGACCTAGATCAGTATGTAATTCAATACACGATGGTTGTACAACCTTTACACAGTGAATGTGGGTGTGAAAACAATCCAAGTGGAATATTTTATAGGTTTTATGGTTTTACAGTGATTCGGGATAAGTAGTGAAACTGTTGGTTGCTGTTGTTGATTTTGATGTTGGTGTTGGTGTTGGTGTTACTGGTGTTGACTAGACCTTAATGTTGATGACCACTGAGCTTGCTGTCTGGGAGCTGGGCTGATGAGTGAAGATGGTGATGACCACTGAGCTAGTTGGGTATGAACTGGCTGGGTGGTGATGGGGGGAATTGGTGAAGGAGAGGCCTCCTGATATATTATTTTCTGAGTTATTTTTGCTGGTGGTGATGCAGTTGAGGTGATTTTGCTGGTGGTGACCTCATGGGTTGCACTGCCTCCTGCAAAGAGTACATGCATTGAGCTAATTATGCTGTGGAAATAACCAAATATGGTACTACTGTATGTAAGGATTGCATAACTGGTTGTACTGACTGGTGGAGGTTTTTCTGTCCACATGCATTTATGCAAAGTCTGCGTAAATTCAATTAAGTTACTAAATGGAGGCCAAATGGTTGCACCTATGCATGCAAGAGTTGCATAACTGATCTGCACTACTTGTGGAGGCCTGCTGATGTAATACTTTATGTGTATGTACTTATATATATGTGGTAAACTACTATTAAATACTAATTAATGACTAGTTATGGTATGGCTTTAACCTTTATATTGGATTATCTTCTAAACTAATAGAGATAGAGGTATAGTTGTAGTGAGTGACTATGGGTAAAATTGTATTTAGATTCTGATTATGCAGTAATATACTCATATATGTAAGTAGTTTAGGTTATAAGGTAGGGGTTTTGGCAGTTTTGTTGTGCACAACAGCTTGGACCATCACAATGGCACGCCTGTAGCATTTTCAACAATCATATTCATCCATTCAACTTATGCACTAGCCAAAATCACTCATTTAACTATCTAAAATATCTGATTTAGTTCTTCCCTGGAGCTGAAATACCTCACTTTTGCCCATTTAAAGAGGCTATCCTCCCAATTTATAGACTTTCCTCAGCAGAGCACTGAAGCCAATTTTTCCTCATAAACATTAAATAACTGCTCTCTCCATGTAAAATATTATTCACCAGAAAATGTTTTGGGTTCTAAATAAATATTGCCTCTTACATAAATCTTAAATATCTCATCATATACCACTATGACAAATTTGAGGGCAGTAAATTCCAGGTGACATGAAGCTAACTCCTGCCTTTATACCAGTGTTAATTCAAAGTCAAAGGTTTGGGACTCCCTGATGACCACAAAGGGCCCATTTTTATTTGAGAAGACAAGCACCAGAGTACCAATTGAGTTGTAAAATATGTCACTTCATGTCACCTGACACCTACTGCCCTCAGATATTTCATGGTGTACCCAACACATCAAATAACTACACTGAATCACTTCTCATCAATCCCATAACACCTTTTTTGTGGATTCTCCTTCAACCAATGCTCACCTGTTTATAAGTTTGATCTCATTTACCACTCCAGTTGTACTCTCAAAATCACTTTAAGCCCTTATAACATTACCAGAACCACTTATCCATCCATTCAATAACATCAATCTTTCTTTGCAATAAATTATCACTTTATCAAGCCTTTCATTCTAATATTGGTGGGGTTGTTTTGTGTCTAGTAACCAAGGAAAGGTAGCACTTCACTCACATCACTTTCTGGACTCCACAAAAAGGTTTTGCAAACACCTTTTGGCTTCACACCATTTATCTCCAACCAAGTATACATATTCATGAAAAAAGTTATTGATAGGATGGAAATTCCCAATTGCCTTGGACACGTATATATTAATTTGGGTCAAACCTATGTATTTCATCAATCATCTTTATTCAAGGATTCCAGAGTTATATACAGAAACTTGGAGGAATTAACAGATTTGATTTATCTCATCCAAATATACATTGTCTCATTTTTTTGGTTGTATCATTTCCTAACCATTTTCATTGTGAATCTCATTTCTGCTATGAAAATGCTCACAAATATACATGTGAGTAACTCAGTAGGGGTATTCAAAGTTGAGGATCAATGCTTGAAGATAAATTTTTATACAACCTTTGGCTTGGACTTGCTTACTAAATCCCAGCCAAAATTGTTTATGATTGAATTGTTATGCATTTATGCAGTAAAATTTGCACATCCCTACTGTAACGTGTAACCAATACAATACATGTATTTGTATCTGTTTTTCTCCAAATAAGCTGTGTCTAAATTGTATCAAAAAATCAATGCAATACAAATGAATCAAAAAATTTGTATCTGGTCACAAATACAGCCCACTACAAAAAACACAATGCTGTATCTCTTTGTATCTGCCAAATGTTTTGTTTGATACAGTCCAAAGTGGCCAAAACATGTGTTGTACTTTTTTGATAAATTGCAATGTTGGAAAAACAACTCTTAAATATTTGCCAACAACTCCCATTTTGGTTGAGGGTTTGTTGGCAGGAGTTGTTTTTGCAATTCCCCCTGTGGGATTGGGAGTCAACCTCCAAATTTTATTTTATATATTTTTTGGGAGGAGTTGGTGCCCCAAACCCTCCTTGGCAAGTGGTGGGTTTGGGAGTTGTCTCCCTCCCACTGGCCAGTAGGGATTCCCTCTAGGCATCAAGACTTTACAGTCTCAGTTGAGATTGTACAGGGCCAGAGGGAATCCCTTCCCTCCAGATGACATTTTTTTGAGTATCAGAAAAATGATACAAATACAACAGTATCTGCAGATACTTTATTGTATTGTTTCTGTTTCACTGTTGTTGGAAGTCATGAAATGTTTGATAATTTTAATTGATGATACGGCCAGTATCTGACGGCTGTGTCAATAGACGTAGTGGATACAAAGGGGTATATTCTGCTTTCTTAATATGTTGCACTTAGGAACTCATAAAAAGCACTTCAAATTTTAATCATAAACTGTGTTTTCCTCCCACAAAGAATTGCTGATGTGTTCATGAAAGCTAATGGCATTTAAGAAACCCTATGAACACTTTTGCATCTTGCAAAATTTATGCTGATAAGATCCTGTACTTTTCTTAGCAAATAAGTCATCTTCAGGTGTATTCTAAGGACAAGCCCACAATTTTTCATATTCATCTCTTCATAAATAATTAGGCATAGATCTGTTCTTTTAGACATTTTGAATTGAAGATGTTATCTGGAGGGTGCCATCATACAGTCGGAATGAGAAACATGTCAGCACAACATGAAAGTTTCTTTTTTGCTTGATGATAATACAACAGTCTTTGTTTATGATCCAAAAGGTTATTTTTAACCACCCAAAGATTCCAACCAACTAGCATCACTACACATGTAAAAATACGTCAGAGTGTACACGGCCCATAATCGCTTGCTGAGTATTGCAGATCATTCTAGTGCTTTCAGCTACGGATGAGGTGATGTTTGAAATTTTCATCGTTTGCTGAGGGTAGCTAGTTTAGTGTTGAGGTTGATGAAGCCCATCTTCGAATCGAAACCGTCGATCGATCTGCCAATTCTCGACACTAATTTAGTACAAATGGACGGTGTGGAGATCAGGAGGATTCCTTCTGCTAAGAATTCACCTTTGTTTCAACTCGGCTTTCCAGTGTATGTTTTTCAACGGGGGTGCTGATAGAGTGATCCCAGTGACCAGGAGAAGAAACGAGGCTGCCAATTGACTAATCAACTGTGGGTATCGATTCAGGTTCATCAAGATCATCGTAACATTTGCTTTTTTGGGGGGATCTTCGAATGGAAAAATGTTGACATCACTGACCCATGTTGAAGGTATGTATTGTAGACTGGTCCCGCCGTGCAACAGAACTGTTGAGAGTTATTTTTCAAAAAAAAAAGAAAACGAATATTCGCGATCAGTGACTCCGACCTATTGATGAGATGCCTCGAAAGTGATCGTGTCGCTAGTTCTACTGACTTCGTTCAACGTAAACCGAGTATGCCCCATGGCAGAACAATACTCCACCGAGACTGATCAGAAGCTGATGAAGCATAGTGCGTCGAAGATGTGAATGACAAAGTCCATGAATCATACAAAGTTTCTGCTATGTAGGAGACCTTTGACGAAATCCCCGGGTGTCCCCGAATAGCATTTCTCCCGCCACCCGATGTCGGGTGTCCAGCCTGGAGATGCGGAGTCGCGGAGTTGAAACGGCTGTGCAGCTGTCACGGGTGGCGAGCGGCCTTGACCGAGTCCGCCAGTTCGGTCAGAAAGCAAGGCCACCGCCGAGCCGAACCAATCCATGACAGAATCCAAGCTCACTCCAACTGAGTTATCTCCAACGGGCCCGCCGACGACGGTGACAGCTAGCGCAGGAAATACCCCGATCAATAATGAAACCTCATTTGATCGCTGGAATCGAAAGTTGCGGATGACCACCGGGCTCGGGCTGAAGTCGAGCGAGGAAAAACAAGAGTGGCTCCTGAGTCGTTGCCGAGGTTGGAAAGACGATTTGGTAGAGACGAGTGAGAGCTAATCCATTCACTAAAACTGCAAGCTGTAATTTCATTAAGAACTGCAAGCTCAATCTTTTGGAGTGACCCAGGCCCAGTGATCCGATACCTATTGCAGCACATATCGACCTTGCCTGTGCCGGATTCGCAACCATCATCCAGTGAAGCTTCTCGACCGACTCGCTCGATACCCATTCCAATTAACTGTGGGATTTGTAGTCCGATGCGCTCCGCCGGTTTATTTTCTCCAAACGAACCAGACCCTTCATCTCCAACTGGAGGCCAAGTCAAATTATGCGCAGATTCGCTGGCCTCAAAAGCACACCTGGAGGATGTGCTATCTCACGAATTAATCCATGCATACGACCATAGACGATTCGACATTGATTGGACGAATTTGCGACATATTGCTTGTACTGAAGTGCGTTTGGTATCGCTTGTATTCTCTTCCCTCGCGCCTATGATTTGTGGATCAATAGTGCGTCTGAAAAACAAAAACATAAGCTAAAATTTTCATGCCTATTCATGGATTTTCAGATTCGTGCCAACGCCCTATCCGGGGACTGCAAATGGACTCGCGAGGTCGATCGTCACAACTTCAACTTTGCAAGACAGCGTCAGATCTGTGCCCGGCGGCGGGCAATTCTCTCAGTTGCCCAACATATCTCAGCGGGTTCCCAGCCATCAGGTTCGGGGGATCAGGCTACTTCTTCCAAGACGCTAGCGTCTGAACAGGCAGAGAAAGTGGTGGACCAAGTTTGGAGTAGCTGTTGGAGCGACACTCGCCCATTTGATGAAATATACTAGATCTGATCATCATCCTCAACCTTTATACGTGACATTTTGAAATGCATCTCAAGGCCTATTTGTCAAGATCCTTTGTCGAGTCCAGCAAAATCGCATCGGTTCCGGCATGACTACGCTAGCTGGAGAGTAGATACAATTTTACCGTGAGCTTACTGAAGAGAATGTAAGGGAAAATATTGTGAGGGCTATTCACCCCTTACCGTCAACTTGCAGGGAAAGTAGTTACACAAAACCTAACGAAGGCTTAGTGAGAAACAGGCTAAGTAGCTTGTAATGGAATAAACAAGTCATACTTTGACCAGCTGGAGATTCATCAGTAGTTTAACATTCATATGAGACAAACATTCGACTTTTTTTTCTTGATAATATTCAATTGGTCCCAGCAAGTTCTTCCTGAGGCGGGTAGGAACCATCCTGCCTACGAGAATTAGATGAGTCACTTCACGTTGGGCAATATATAAAATCCAACAATTCCTAATCTTTGTTTTGTGATAGATGAACCGTGTTTTCTGTATCATCTTGCAAGACCTGATACTCACCTTGTTCATTGGACACGCGAAGGTAAACCTCCTTCCAGATGGTTGTTTTTCTGACTTGCTTGTACATAAATATGTGCATAAATAGTCCCTTTTCCAAAAGCTCTTCTGTCTTCTGTCTCCATTGGGTCCCTGACATGACAAATCCCTAAGGTTTCTGAGATGTGGAATATCGCTAGATATTCATGACATACAAAGATTTTGGAACCAAAAACTACCAAATGCTCATCTGAGCTCTAACTTCCCTTGATTGAGACGTTCTGATTCTTGTGAGGGTGTTTCAAGCGTAGATTTCTCATAATCCATGGCAGAAGACATTTGCCAAGCCAAGCTTGAATGAAACCTGGGCTGTGAACTTCTTGGGCCATAAGCATCAATCCAAGCTTCCTTTACCTTAATCTGTCTTAGAAAGCCTCTAGCTGGTGAGACTAGGGATGGCTCTCTGAAATCAGCATCAGGGTGATGTCGGCAGCTTTTGACTAATGATCACGACTAAAGGAAATCTGCATGCGAAATAGCGTCTATTATTGTGAATTAAAGATATGTTCTCATTGGGCCTCGCTTGATTGTCGGACACGATCATATCTGGACGTGCTCATAGGATTAGCTACCGAAAACTTATAAAAGTGTTTGCATAGGAGAACAGTTTTACATAATCTCCCTTTTTTGTACTGAACCGTTCATCCCGGGGTCTAACAGCTTCTGGTCTTGTCCCATAATAACATATTGTAAATATTTATAATGATTCATCCACCATTCAGCATGAACTTACCCATTTTCAATATGGGTGGGGTAAGGGGGGGGGGGGTATATACCGATACGTATACTATAGGGGGAACTCCTGACAACTTTGGTCTTACAATCACCAAAGACTTTCTAATTCTATCCTCCTGCCGGACATGGGACCAGGGGGTTGACTGGGATATAAAAAAAGGGTACTGCTGGCCACTTCGCGATGAGCAAAAAGCATATAAATAGGTGCTTTAACTCCGGACTTGCACATCAAGAGTGAATTTACGATATCCACTCGGATGGCAGAGTGCTTTGGTTTTCGAAAAAAAAAGGGGTCGTTATAAAGTGAGCTAATAATAATAGCAAACAAGTTCGATGCATGTGCAGATTCGCAGTGACGCTGCGCTGAGTCTGGCGCTGTTTTCAAACGGAACTTGCCGGATGATTTGGATGCTATTATTTGCTTGTCTCTGAAACTTGATGAAGATGCCACGTGTTCTTGAAGGGCATCTTTAGCTTGTGCACCTACCCCCTCCCCCTCTGCCAGGCTTTCCTTTTAATGCAGATTCATCAGTATTAAGCACACCCTTCGAAGCCGGCTCCGAGGTATTAGGGTTTTCGGTGATGCATTGCGTCCGACTACTGCTCTGGTCTGACCCACCCTTCACTCCTGTTTATTAATGGGACATATTTTAGGATGAAGCGTTTTCCAACCAGTTCCAATATTTGTTTAGTTGCTATTGTAACTGCGGCTCACTGCGATGGCGAGATCCTGGTTTATATCTTCATTTGTGGAGATGACAGACAGACATCGACAGAGATCGAGCAGTAAAACTCGATCCCAGCCCTTTTTTTTTCTTGGAGGGGTGAGCTCGGGCTGAAGTGGTGTGGTACATAGTGCAATTGCATCACAACAGTCTTAAGAGGGCGATGTTATGTTCCGAGTTTTGGACTAATTTTAGTGGCCCATGAAGCATCAGCTCACCCTCTTCATCTTTAAGGGCTGTACAAGTCTACAAGATAACAGACATCCATAATAGTCCAGCCTGGTCGAAAGGCTAATGAGAGTGTGAGACCCCAATCGCATGACTCTGCCCCTTCAAACTGCAGAGAGGACTCGTCAGATCTCCTCCTTCAAGGATCTACGGCTAACAACAACCAGAAGAGAAAAGGAGCGATATTTGAAAATAAATACTGCTAGCTCTAATCCTTACATATTTTTGTTATTTATCCCCACCACTTGCCCACTTCCGAATCGGGTACCTTCCTCGTCTTCTTCTGCGTCCGCCACCCTATACAACATACAAATAACATCACGTAGCTGGGCCCATTACATATTTATTCAATCTTTCTTGGCAACCACCCCATCTCCCTTATCTTGTTTAATCCAGCCTCTGCCTCTGCTTCTTCTTTTAAAAGATCTCCTGCCTGTTTGCTTGTCCCACCTCAACCTCAACTCCAGAATTTTTTGTTGTACTCTCAAAACGATGCACTTGGCACTCTCGCTTGACTGTTCCTTCCTTGACTTAACCAACGATGATGATTCGGCCTACGACTCTCCCACTTCTTCCCAAGAAGACGAGCCCTTGGACGCCAAAGTTCTCCCACTACCACCAAGACAGAAAATCAAACGACACCGACGCCGTCGGAATCTTTACCATAACGAACTCTCTGATACCCCAGGACGGAGGCGCCAAAGGTCTGGCGATACTGAAAACATCTTGAGCTTATCGGACATTAACCTTCCCCTCGAAATCAGTGATCACCTGTTGATGGCTGGCCTGGCCAACTGGGCTCCTTCCAACCATGCACCCATCGCTCAAGAACCCATCTCTGTTTCTGCATCAAGTTCATACACTTCCCTCTTGGAAAATGTTCGTGATCAGTGCACAAAGTATTTGGAAAGGCGTTCAGTAGTATCACAAGAATCAACCCTAATCCGAGCAAAGCCGATCCTGCGCAACCAATTCATCAAACCGTCTGTCTGCTGAATCTCAGAAACGAAAAATCTCTACTGAGTATCACATCATTATCAAACAACAGCAGATCAGACCGGATCCTTGCCCAGTCCTCCATTCCCCCGCTCCCATCAATCCTACTGGTCCCGAGCTCTGAAGTCACGAGAAGACCGACGACGAAACGGATGATAGGCTCCGGAATCAACCGAGCATGTTCGATCAAATTACTCTCTTCATTCTCGATCCCCGAAAAAATCCAGACTAGTCATCCTCAGATCGAGAACCCTCATGACCAGCAGGAAAGAGCCGCCAACTTCGAAATCCTCATCTCCTCTTCCGGCCCCTTGAAGAATCTCGATCCCAACCAAAGTCTTATCTCCGCTGCTTCAAAATCACCAACATCAACTACTCACTCCTTGAAGTTCAAGAATACTCTCCATCATCAACAATCTATCTTTAAAACTGATTTATTCTCGAATAAAAACGTCTCCTGGTTATCCAATCTTAGTCTAGGCAAAGAAAACCAAATTGATGGTCTACATCAACCCGAGGACGAATAACTCAATCCGTCGTCAAACCAATCATATACACATCCAACATCATTCACATACCATTCTTTTTTTTTCTTGCTTGGATTTCAGTTCATTCTATTGTTTTGGTTTTTCATTCTTTGTTTTCGTATTCTGTTTGAAGACTTTACCCATCTAATTAGTTTGCAAACCGCTCAACAATCCGTCGATCATTTGTAGTACCAGTGACCTCCTTTACAACATATTAGTCTGTTAGAAGTGGATAGTTGAAGTGTAGTTAAGAAAAAAAAAAGAATAAGCTTTAGTTTTTTTTCTTTCTTTCTTTGTCTCTCCTTCTTTCAAGGTTTTTTTTCATTCATTTCTTTCATTTAGGGATGCATCACTCTGTCTGTAAAACTTCTTACAACATTCTCAACCTATCTCATTCTTCTCCAAACACACTAACAAACACATCACACTGTTTATTCTTTTATATGTAGCATGTTTCCTCAATTAATCTAACACATAATCTCAAATCGTCCCCTTTTTCTGAAGAATAATAACAACATTCTCCACATTTGAAAGATCCAACACATCAATCATAATTATGAACAATATGGGGAAAATAGATAAAACAACTTTAACTTGTATTCAATGATACTTATACTATTTATGAGAGAGGAAAGTTCATAGGACTTTTGAATTTCAGCTTCCCCTGCAAAAAAACCAGTTCATTTTTTCTACAATGTGTTGGGTTTTCTTTTGTTTGCGGTCCCTGATCATCACATCCTGCAAGAAGTGGATGGCAAATGGGAATATTTGGCTGGCATAACCCATGTCATGATCAAACCAAACCCTAGTGCGGAAAGAACCAATGTGTTCAATTGATATCATGCTTGTTGTTAGGTCAAGTTACTTATTAGGAACTTTTGAGGTAAATTCCATCTCACTTAATTTGAATGTTTTTGTATCCCATTTGAACTTCTTGATTTATGTATGGATTGCTAGAAAAAAATACTGACAATGATCTTCCTAATTGAATGAATGAAACCTGTTGAAATTGAATTTCATTTTTCTAATACCCAATAGATGAAAAAAAAAACAAATCATGAAATTAAACATATTATTTGGCATTGAGTCATACCATCCCATCGTTTTTCATAAGTACTTTTTTCATTCAGAGGGTATGTGAGAGGTGCAGGATCAGATATCATGCCAGCAAAAGAACAATAAACCAGGCTTGGTATCGCAAGTATAAAAGAAAAAAAAAGACAAGGAGAAAGTGAGGTAAAGGCCGGGTCAGGTTATAGATTTTGATTGATCTTAGACGCTTTGAAACGCGACAATTTTTTAGATGGGGTTGTTGTGCTTGGCGTTGATGGATGTAAGGAATCAATAGATACTTGATCAGCAAGCCCGTTTCTTGAGGACGTCTGATCAACCTTATCGTTGTTTTGCCGTGGTCTGTGGAAAACAACAAACAACCGTCAATTGATGAGTGAATGCAGAGCTAATCCATGATAAAAACGAAATAAATTGGGATTAGTGAGGTTGTAGAAGAGGGACTAACGCGATTGGCGGGTCCAATGTGGGTTCTGTTCTCACGGTTCCCTTGGGGGCGGAGGAAGCATTGGCGATCGGAGACGGATTCTTTGAGATTGTTGGTCTGAATTTCAGAGCAGAAGATTTCGGAGCAGTTTTGATTTCGGGTGGTCCTTCATTCCGGAAAGATTTTTCAGCCAATGGGGCTCGTTGTGGCTGATTGAGTGTAGCTTCAGAATCCGGGCGAGGTTGATCCTCCAGGTCGACTTCACCTGTCCTAGCCTTTTCCATCCAAGCCATCAACTCAGATCCGGCCTTCTCAGCTGCGATCCTTCTTTCTTCATCCATACCCAAAGCTTCCAGTCGTGACCTTAACAGTTCCACTTCCTCGGCCGTTAATTCGTCATCGACTTCCGTAAAGTCTGCCGTCCGACCAGGCAACTGATGTACGGCTGCACCCATAGTCGGTGCTGGGCCTTCGATGATCGGTGCAGCTCCAAAAAGCTTGCCGTCAACCACCTTTTCGTCACCTAGACAATCCGGATTGGTACCGTCCAAAGGGGGTAACGGTCTTCCGGTCTTGAATCGACTCTGGCCACTAGATCGTCGGGGAACACCTGGAGCTTTAACCCGAGCGTCGAGGGGTACCCATTCTGACTCATCATCTGAGCCTGGGGCTCTGTCACCACCTAGAGGACCTGTACCTCGACCAAGCCCTAATCCCTGCCGTTTGGTGTGATACTCCAACGCAGCTTGTCTTAGGTCTAGAACCGTTTGTATATCCAAATCTTCCGGTGGCCAGCTTGACCCCCCTGCAGCTCCCTCATCATCATCTTCCGACCATGTTGATGAACCGTCGTTATCTTCATCACTATCCAAATCATCTTGATCCTCTTCGGAACTTTCGCCTTCTTCTTGTTGAGATGTAGGATCTTGGGCTACTTGATCAGGCTTGGAACACGATCCATTTTGTAGAGAGCGCGGCAAGAGGGACGCAAGTCGTGGGTTCAGATAGGCGTTCTTCCCGTTAACTTCAATCTTGGTAGACTGGGCTGGTTTTCTGGATGGAATTACGACTGGTGGGGTGGGTTGGACGATGGGCCGTTCGACTATGTCAGATAGCATGATCCCAGGTGACGGGCGAGGTGGATCTGGAAGGATGGGAGATGAGGTTGATGTGGATTTGGGAGGATTCAAGTAAGTTTCGGGTGCAAAGGTGACCGACTTCTTTTGGGATGCTTTTAAAGATCCTGAATCTTCCTGTGGGATCAATTTATCGGTTCGAGGACGAGCCAAGATGCTGGGGGTCGGGGTAGGAGCGGAACAAGCTGGAGGGTTGTGGTCAGCCGACTGCGCAAGTTGCTGAGAGGTTTGCTGAGAGGTTGACGGAACTGACAGAGCGGACGTCTTGAAGATATTCTTCAGTCCATCCAGACCAGTTTCCCCCAAGCTTTCAAGTCTTCTTGTTCATCCTGTTGCTGGCAGGCATGATGAGCTGGTTTAGCGAGATTGAGTGCTTTATCAATTTCTTGGCCGATATCGTCGGGAGAGATGAATTCTTCAGTATGAGAATGTTCTTCATCTGATTGACTTTGTTCGACGGTCTCCTCTGGTGGTCTGTTCTTGAGTTCTAGTTCTTCCTCTAGCTCCAGTTCATCTAAGAGTTTGCTGATATGAGAGGGTAGCTGATATGAATTGGTTCCAGTTGGATCGTCGGACTTGAGGCCATGAATCGGTCCAGTGGAAGCAGTCGTCGAGCCATCGGATGGGCGATTGTTACTTTCTTGAGTGAGCTGGTTCGATTCTTCGAGGTTGTTTTCTTGGATATCCATGTCTTATCCTGGTAAATATGTGTTCTCTTGCTGCTTGACCGAGAGTTGAATTAGTCAGTCGGTTCTTGAAAATCTCGCCCGTCGGTTCATTTGTGGTTGTCGGCCGGGGCCCACCCGGGATGCCCCCGACTTCCGAGGTTCTGCCACGGGCTTTCAGGAAACCCCCGGCAGACATCCAGGGCACACCAGGGGCTTCGGGGGATACATACAGTCAGGTCCCCATTAACCCACACCCCCCCCTTTTTTTTTTTTTTTTTTTTTTAAGTGAAATTTGGCCTTAGGCATTGCACACTATGAATCTGAGTAACATTTACGTGACAACTTGAGAGCAACAATTTAAACCTAACACAACTACGGGACGCTAGTGATATGGGGAATTTCTGGGGTTATGAAAAATTGAGAAAGAGACAAGGGAAAAAAGAAAAGAAGATAAAACAGAAAACACAGTAAGAGCTACAACAAAAAAGTTCTGTTTAACGGGAGAAGTGATCAGGGAATCGGTTTGAATTGCGAAGGAAGCCTGAGATTGCTTCCTCCGCCCGTCGACATTTGAGGACCAGGTCGAGCCTCTCGGCCTTGAACCGAATTTTGAGCCTCCGTAGATTCCTCCTAAGAGCCAACCTCAACCCCATACCCCTTGGTGGACACATTTTGCTATGGGTTACAGGGGTGTATGGGTTAATAAGTAAAGTTGTCCAGCACTTTGGCAATTTTGGTGGACCCAATTTCCTATGGGCTACAAGGGGTTATGGGTTAATAATTCATGGATTAAAAGGGAGATGACTGTACCCCAAACGGCAGCTCTCGCTTTTCATTCCAAGGAAAAAGGCTGCACGGAGCATATGAGACTTGAGTTGCCGGTTGAGTCATTCTAATCTGTCCGACTTTGCACCAACTCTGTCATCAAGCACAAGTTGGTTCCTTCAACGCAGCAGACCAGTCTTCACCGGACGTAGTTGCTTGTCTGTGCTAGGATTAGGTGAACATCCCAGCTTTCTTCTTCTTTCTGATTCTAACTATCCAAACTGCTTTTTCGTGAATCAAGTAAATTATCCCCTTAGCGGGGTTGTAGAGATGTCATGCCGGTATACATACTAACGATCGGCGCTTGTTGGGAGTTTTTTGTGCTAGGAGTGATGCCTGTTTTTTACTTGAAATCAATCTCAAGTCGACACGGCTGCTTGCTGACAGCAAAAAAAACCCTGCATTCATACATTTTTGGTGAGTATCATTTTATGTTTTTTGGCTTGCCAAAAAAATTCATACATTTTGTGTTGAATGTATGAACCAATCACAAGAGGAATTGAAATTTTTGAGAAGAGGGCACAAAAAGGGTTAAAAACCTTTTTGGGAATGGTTCACCGAAAAAGAATGAAAGAACCAATGAATTTTATTTCTTGTAGCTAGCCTGTTTTAAATAGACTAAATACAAAAGGTTAAAAATGTGGTTGAGAGAAATTGAATAAAAGATGATTTTGAATAAAAACTGAGAGAAGGAAAAATATGAGTTCATGGAAGAAATAACCAGACAAGTCTTCTCAGTCTCTTTTAGACAACCTAGTAATATTAATCATGACAAAACATACTCTCCATCACAAATGAATAGAGTCGTTAATTCTAGACAATCAGATTTTAATGAATCAAATAATGAACTAGAAAAAGAAAGAAATCAATCAATAAGACTAGAGTTGTTAGATGAAAATTGCCATGAGGAGTTCTAATTAGACTGCAAGTGAGCATAAGATTCAACACAAAAAACAGCTATGATTGACTATAGTTCAGTCTAGGTCAAGATGATTTAAGAAAGGAAAAAGGTAGAAGAAGTGGGGAAAAGAGGGAGTGATTTGGGAAGGAGTAGCCAGTGAAGTTGAAAACTCAACATTTTG